CTCTGCACAGCTAATTGCGGTGCCCGAGACGACTGGGTCACCTGTGCCCCCTTAACCCAATGACAGATAAGGACATCAAAAAACATTGTATGAAATAAATATAAACCAGATGAGCAAGGAAGGTCCTTCTTTAACACACATGCGAGTTTATAGATCGTGAACATTCCATGTCATAGTAAGACCAAGAATGAGACGTACCATTCGCATCAATGCACCTCTCTCGAAGATGTTTTTTTCACAATCGTACTATGGTATTGATTCACATAGATCCAAGAATTCCAATGTTTCAGGAAAAACAGAATGATGTTTTCAGGAGGCGTTTTATTATGTTTATTTATTCACAATATATACAAGCATGGACGCACAGGACAGTGATGTATGTGTATCTACATCCCCTGGTCTATCAACTACCATAACATCTGCTACAATACATATACAGCAAACATGTGTCATTATGTGACAATCTGATTTTCCTGCAATATCGTAAACATTTTTAATGTTTCATTTAAATGGCATGTTTTAAACAATGCCAATCCACAACTGTACATATGTACTGAGTTTATTACAATATGTGTGTATAATTACGGTATGTTACCGATAGGTTACAGATAGGATGTTGTTTGGTGTAGTGTTATTTACAAGTCTGACGATTTCATATGATCTTCTAGGGTAAGGGATGTGTGATATGTGTTGGTACTGGTCATGATGGGATGTGTTTTGGTACTGGTCATGATGGGATGCGAGTTGCTACTGGCCATGGTGGGATGTGAGTTGGTACTGGCCATGGTCGGATGTGTGTTGGTACTGTCTATGATGGGGTGTGTGTTGGTACTGGTCATGATGGGATGTGTGTTGGTGCTGGTCATGATGGGATGTGTGTTGGTACTGGCCATGGTGGGATGTGTGTTGGTACTGGCCATAGTGGGATTTGTGTTGGTACTGTCCATGATGGTGTGTGTGTTGGTACTGGTCATGATGGGATGTGTGTTGGTACTGGTCATGATGGGATGTGTGTTGGTGCTGGTCATGATAGGTTGTGTGTTGGTACTGGTCATGATTGGATGTGTTGGTACTGGTCATGATAGGATGTGTTGGTACTGGTCATGATGGGATGTGTTGGTACTGGTCATGATAGGATGTGTTGGTACTGGTGATGATGGGATGTGTGTTGGTACAGGTCATGATGGGATGTGTGTTGGTACAGGTCATGATGGGATGTATGTTGGTACTGGTCATGATGGGATGTGTTGGTACTGGCCATGGTCGGATGTGAGTTGGTACTGGCCATGGTGGGATGTGTGTTGGTACTGTCCATGATGGGGTGTGTGTTGGTACAGGTCATGATGGGATGTGAGTTGGTACTGGCCATGGTCGGATGTGTGTTGGTACTGTCCATGATGGGATGTGTGTTGGTGCTGGTCATGATGGGATGTGTGTTGGTACTGGCCATGGTGGGATGTGTGTTGGTACTGGCCATAGTGGGATTTGTGTTGGTACTGTCCATGATGGTGTGTGTGTTGGTACTGGTCATGATGGGATGTGTGTTGGTACTGGTCATGATGGGATGTGTGTTGGTGCTGGTCATGATAGGTTGTTTTTTTGGTACTGGTCATGATGGGATGTGTTGGTACTGGTCATGATGGGATGTGTTGGTACTGGTCATGTTTGGATGTGTTGGTACTGGTCATGATGGGATGTGTTGGTACTGGTGATGATGGGATGTGTGTTGGTACAGGTCATGATGGGATGTGTGTTGGTACAGGTCATGATGGGATGTATGTTGGTACTGGTCATGATGGGATGTGTGTTGGTACTGGTCATGATGGGATGTGTGTTGGTACTGGTCATGATGGGATGCGAGTTGCTACTGGTCATGATGGGATGTGTGTTGGTGCTGGTCATGATGGGTTGTGTGTTGGTACAGGTCATGATGGGATGTGTGTTGCTACTGGTGATGATGGGATGTGTGTTGGTACAGGTCATGATGGGTTGTGTGTTGGTACTGGCCATGATGGGATGTGTGTTGGTACTGGTGATGATGGGATGTGTGTTGGTACTGGTCATGATGGGTTGTGTGTTGGTACACGTCATGATGGGATGTGTGTTGGTACTGGTCATGATGGGATGTGTGTTGGTACTGGTCATGATGGGATGTGTGTTGGTACTGGTCATGATGGGATGTGTGTTGGTACTGGTCATGATGGGATGCGAGTTGCTACTGGTCATGATGGGATGTGTGTTGGTACAGGTCATGATGGGTTGTGTGTTGGTACTGGTCATGATGGGATGTGTGTTGGTACAGGTCATGATGAGATGTGTGTTGGTACTGGTCATGATGGGATGTGTGTTGGTGCTGGTCATGATGGGTTGTGTGTTGGTACTGGTCATGATGGGATGTGTGTTGGTGCTGGTCATCATGGGTTGTGTGTTGGTACTGGTCATGATGGGATGTGTGTTGGTACTGGTGATGATGGGATGTGTGTTGGTACAGGTCATGATGGGATGCGAGTTGCTACTGGTCATGATGGGATGTGTGTTGGTGCTGGTCATGATGGGATGTGTGTTGGTACTGGTCATGATTGGATGTGTGTTGGTACTGGTCATGATGAGATGTGTGTTGGTGCTGGTCATGATGGGTTGTGTGTTGGTACTGGTCATGATGGGATGTGTGTTGGTACTGGTGATGATGGGATGTGTGTTGGTACAGGTCATGATGGGATGTGTGTTGGTACAGGTCATGATGGGATGTCTGTTGGTACTGGACATGGTGGGATGTGTGTTGGCACTGGTGATGATGGGCTGTGTGTTGGTGCTGGTCATGATGGGATGTGTGTTGGTGCTGGTCATGATGGGTTGTGTGTTGGTACTGGTCATGATGGGATGTGTGTTGGTACTGGTGATGATGGGATGTGTGTTGGTACAGGTCATGATGGGATGTGTGTTGGTACAGGTCATGATGGGATGTGTGTTGGTACTGGACATGGTGGGATGTGTGTTGGCACTGGTGATGATGGGCTGTGTGTTGGTGCTGGTGATGATGGGATGTGTGTTGGCACGGGTCATGATGGGATGTGTGTTGGTACAGGTCATGGTGGGTTGTGTGTTGGTACTGGTCATGATGGGATGCGAGTTGCTACTGGTCATGATGGGATGTGTGTTGGTGCTGGTCATGATGGGTTGTGTGTTGGTACAGGTCATGATGGGATGTGTGTTGCTACTGGTGATGATGGGATGTGTGTTGGTACAGGTCATGATGGGTTGTGTGTTGGTACTGGCCATGATGGGATGTGTGTTGGTACTGGTGATGATGAGATGTGTGTTGGTACTGGTCATGATGGGTTGTGTGTTGGTACACGTCATGATGGGATGTGTGTTGGTACTGGTCATGATGGGATGTGTGTTGGTACTGGTCATGATGGGATGTGTGTTGGTACTGGTCATGATGGGATGTGTGTTGGTACTGGTCATGATGGGATGTGTGTTGGTACTGGTCATGATGGGATGTGTGTTGGTACTGGTCATGATGGGATGTGTGTTGGTACAGGTCATGATGAGATGTGTGTTGGTACTGGTCATGATGGGATGTGTGTTGGTGCTGGTCATGATGGGTTGTGTGTTGGTACTGGTCATGATGGGATGTGTGTTGGTGCTGGTCATCATGGGTTGTGTGTTGGTACTGGTCATGATGGGATGTGTGTTGGTACTGGTGATGATGGGATGTGTGTTGGTACAGGTCATGATGGGATGCGAGTTGCTACTGGTCATGATGGGATGTGTGTTGGTGCTGGTCATGATGGGATGTGTGTTGGTACTGGTCATGATTGGATGTGTGTTGGTACTGGTCATGATGAGATGTGTGTTGGTGCTGGTCATGATGGGTTGTGTGTTGGTACTGGTCATGATGGGATGTGTGTTGGTACTGGTGATGATGGGATGTGTGTTGGTACAGGTCATGATGGGATGTGTGTTGGTACAGGTCATGATGGGATGTCTGTTGGTACTGGACATGGTGGGATGTGTGTTGGCACTGGTGATGATGGGCTGTGTGTTGGTGCTGGTCATGATGGGATGTGTGTTGGTGCTGGTCATGATGGGTTGTGTGTTGGTACTGGTCATGATGGGATGTGTGTTGGTACTGGTGATGATGGGATGTGTGTTGGTACAGGTCATGATGGGATGTGTGTTGGTACAGGTCATGATGGGATGTGTGTTGGTACTGGACATGGTGGGATGTGTGTTGGCACTGGTGATGATGGGCTGTGTGTTGGTGCTGGTGATGATGGGATGTGTGTTGGCACGGGTCATGATGGGATGTGTGTTGGTACAGGTCATGGTGGGTTGTGTGTTGGTGCTGGTCATGATGGAATGTGTGTTGGTACTGGTGATGATGGGATGTGTGTTGGTACTGGTCATGATGGGATGTGTTTTGGTACAAGTCATGATGGGATGTGTGTTGGTACAGGTCATGATGGAATGTGTGCTGGTACTGGTCATGATGGGTTGTGTGTTGGCACTGGCCATGATGGGATTTGTGTTGGTACTGGTCATGATGGGATGTGTGTTGGTACAGGTCATGATGGGTTGTGTGTTGGTGCTGGTCATGATGGGATGTGTGTTGGTACAGGTCATGGTGGGTTGTGTGTTGGTACTGGTCATGATGGGATGTGTGTTGGTACTGGTCATGATGAGATGTGTGTTGGTACAGGTCATGATGGGATGTGTTGGTACAGGTCATGATGGGTTGTGTGTTGGTACTGGTCATGATGGGTTGTGTGTTGGTACTGCCTATGATGGGATGTGTGTTGGTATATACGTACAGATCTCTTACCCGAGAAGATCATAAATGAGGAAGCAACAACACAACTTCGCCAAGCATGACAGCACTTTATAAAAGTGACAATTCCTCGTTTTATCAGAAGGCTGAGAGCATGTCAGTCATTGAACAGTAAACGTGGTCGACATACTCGAAACAGATCGCACAGAATATTTGAGGCTTTGTGAATTAACCTGAGAATGCTCAACATAGGTAAATACTTCGTTCACTTATTGTTTTCTGTTTGTCGATGCACTTGATCAAGACATGTGAGTTGGACTGATCCTTGTCCGCCTTCCTATCACCTCATCAGCACACCGTTACACCTGCAATGAACAACGGGAAGTATGTCATAATGTTCACTACTAATTATTTCCCGATAATATGATAACTTATAATCATGATGCAGTTTACTGAAGTTTTTGCTTGACAAATCCACCTAAAACATTGAATTGTGAAATTCGACTGTATGATGCCAATTACATACATGTGTGTTCCGCCTTGTACTGCGGCAAAAGACTCCAACGTCATTTAAACGATAAACACACTCAATTGAATGCAGTTCATGACTGCCATAAGTGTTTCGATATCACAGCACACCTTCTCCATTCCCTGCTAACTTGGTGGGTGGGGGTGTCACAGGTGGACTAGTCGTCTAAGGCGCCGCGATACGCTGTGCAGAGTTGCATCCCTTGGGCACACCAGAAACCTGATTGTGGGTTGGAATCCCGGTTCGCCCCGATTATGTTTGTAGATTTCTCAGCGCAATATCCGTTTCATCGAAGTGGTAAACGTATGAGACCTGCATCACTTCGGGCTTTTCTCCCACATTAAGCTGACACGCCGTGATATAACTGGAATACTGTTAAAAGCGGCGTTAAACCCAACTCACTGACTGAATCCTGTTAACTGGACTGGTCTTTGTCAACAATGGAACATTTACGTACACGGGATGATGTCTGAAGTTCTCCCAGCATCGCTGACACTGAAGCCACACAGGTCTACAATTGTCAGGCAGTATCCCCCGGGTCTGCAGGGCTCCGATCAGGGCACTGTACAGGAGAACGTACTGATCCTGCAATCATTAATATAATTTTTGTTTTCCTTGTGCATGAATGGGTCAGTCTTCTTAGGCGTCACAATTCACTGTGAAGAGTTGCTTCCCTTTAATTTGCAAGAAATTAGTGATCTTTCGTTATAATCCAAGGTTTTAAGATTTATTTAGTGGAAAATATCCCTCCCGGATCAAGCTAACATGCCGTGATATAATTGAAATGCTGTTCAAAGCGGCGTTAAAAACATCCACTTGGTTGCTGAAACCAAACATACACATGTATATTTTAGACGAAAGCAAGAACAGTTACTGAGGAAAACGTAGATATAATCCGTGCATACCTCACAAAACATACACATGAACACCGCTGGAGTAATCATTCGAATAAACTATAAAGGTATTGGACAATAGCGTATCTCTGTCGAGAACGAATTACCCAATATTGAACCAAAACATATGACATATTTGTCGCCTACACACATCATACATCTGAGAGCAGTTGTTATGAAATCACTAAATGAATCAGATACATCTGTATCTGTTATCAGAACATATAAACATTCAAAGGCACAAAGAATCACGAGGTGAGGTGAGGTGAAATGGGGTTTAACGTCGCGTCCAAGATTATTGCACTTATATAGCGACGTGCATGTACATGGGTGTGTTTGTGTGGCTGCTTGTACTAGTCCGGACTGATGCCGATTTATAGTGCTAGCTCACTGAGATTCCATGCCGCAGTTTAACATGAATACCCCACTCAGACACAGTATACTGACTCCGAGCCGACCAGTCCTTGTTTTAGCCCCTTAATGCCGAGCGCCAGACAGGGTAACAACAAGTACCATCTTTTAACGTCTTTTGGTATGACGCAGCCGGGGATCGAACCCCGGACCTTCCGCTCTCCGGGCGGACGCTCTACCACTAGACCACGGAGGCGGTCCGAAGAATCACGAATCGCAAATTGAAACATATGTAAAGTCAATGTTTCGTTACCTCCGTGTGAACCATGTTCATTCTCTGCATACGGAATCCCTGGACACATTCAAATACACAGGCTCGGGAGTCATCCCTTGCCTGCTCAATCAGATACACCAGGGCTAGGAACGTCCCAGTCCGTCCAACTCCAGCACTTAATGAGAAACAATTACCTTTCACAGCTGTCAACGTCTTATGTTTATTATCATTTTAAACAAACACAATGTATTAAGATGTGTAACAGCTTTGTATTCAAATTGTATGCTACCTGTAGACTAGAACAGCTCACTCCTTTCGAGAACACCTTGTGTCTTCCTGATTTTTCCGGAACCACATAAAATGTTCACAGCTGTTTTGCCTTATGCGCCCAATGGAAAATATTGTGCAGGTACTCGAGATTGATTGTTCTCTCACTTGAATATTAATGTTTAATGTAGTATTATCAATATAACCTCTGTTGCAAAAGGGCTGCACTCTTTGGGTTTCATGTCCAATTATAAAACAACATGCTTTGCAGACAAAGCGTTCGAATCCCGGTTCGCCCCGATTATGTTTATATGTTTGTCAGCACCATATCCGTGCTCGTGGGTTTCACCCAAGGGGTAAACATTTGAAACCTACATCACTTCGGGCTTTCCTCCCACATTAAGCTGACACGCCGTGATATAACTGGAATACTGTTAAAAGTGCCGTTAAACCCAACTCACTCACTAACTGCAGATAGAGCGCAAAGATTTTGTCAAAGATTAAACTAGGTTGTACATGTGTTATAACTGTACTTTCAACATGTTTGCCTTTACAAAATTTAACATATTAAGTATTGTTATTGAATTAAATTGCATAAGACTACACAATTACGTTTTCGCCATAAAAAGTGTAAATGATAGCCAACTAGACACAGTAAACGACACCTGCAGTGCACCACTGTTGTGCCTCCCTCGTCTTTGTCTGTGTTCCTCACAACTTTATAGAAGTCGATAAGTGACGTCACTTCCTCAGGGACACCGTAGGCCGGCCAGGACGTGTAGTGCAGGTGGTGAATCACCCTTGTTGGAGTGTTGGGCTTTTATAAAAGTGAAATCAATGTCTGGATGACATGTGCATGGTGAATCATGCGACAGTCATACAATACGAAATGAATATAAGTAGCTTTATGAATAAGGCATGTTTTGTTTGTTTGTTTGTTTGTTTGTTTGTTGTTTTACGCCTCACTCAGCAATATTCCAGCTATATGACAGCGGTCTGTAAATAATCGAGTCTGGACCAGACAATCCAGTGACTAATATCATAGGCATCGATCCACGCAATTGGGATCGATGACATGCATCAACCAAGTCAGCAAGCCTGAAACCCGATCCCGTTAGTCGCCTTTTACGACAAGCAGAGTCACCTTTAACGGCAAGCATGGGTTGCTGAAGACCTATTCTATCCCTGAATCTTCACGGTCAATAAGGCATTTACGTGTGTATGTACTTCAGTTAAACATCAGTGTAAGTCTTACTTTCCATATTGCTAATCGTCTTGTCGTGTAATGCTGAAACACCCTTTCCTCAATACATTGGACAGACACATCCCCATACGTCTTGCAGTCCATGCCGCAGCACGGCCAGTACTGGTCACACTTGGCCTAAACATGAAAGGTATATGAATATACATGGATAAGTAGATGGTGTGGCAATAGGTGACATGAGTCGTTTATGCTACTCTGATATGACTTTTCTTACTTTTAAATAATTAAACTTACAAAGCCTGCCTCGAGAAGATTTGTCAGCATCACAATCTTGTTTGCATCAAGCTGCCAGATCATTCTCCAAAAATCCAACACCACGTGGCTGGAAGGGCCTATGTGTAAATGTAAATAGTTAATATATAGCTTTTGTTACATAACACATGTGATATAAACTTCAACATTAAGTGTAATACCATGTTGTAGCTATTTAATGCTCTGACAATGTGCGTTTGCGTAAAAAAACATTTTTTGGGGGCAAACAACTTTCTATTCATTAATTGAATTCATTTAGTGTATACCAAAGTACGAACCTTGTGTTGCGATGAATTGCGTTTCTTGTCTGTAACCCTGGATTGACAACAGAGAGGAATACATGGTTGATATGTGTGAGTATAATCAGGTCATTATTTCAATATACTAGTATATGGCGTAACAAAGATTTATTTCCAAACCAAATGTAGTGAGTTAGTGAGTGAGTTTGGTTTAAAGCCGTTTTTAACAGTATTTCAGTTATATCACGGCGTGTCAGCTTAATGTGGGAGGAAAGCCCGAAGTGATGCAGGTCTTAGACGTTTACCACTTCGGTGAAACCCACGAGCACGGGTATGGTGCTGACAAACCTAGAAACATAATCGGGGCGAATCGGGATTCGAACCCACAATTATAGGTTTCTGGCGTGCCCAAGGGACGCAACTCTGCACAGCGAATCGCGGCGCCTTAGTCGACTGTGCCACCCGTGCATTACATGTATATTTTATTCCATGTAGATTTGGATGTTATATACTTACATCAATGTAGGAAGCGTTGATGTAATCACTTCCGCCTTCGTCCTCCACCGCCAGGCACACTCGGGTGGTGTCAACTGTAACATCATATAAAACATCTACAGTTCCTTCTGAATCCGTGACGCTAACGGTTTTATTTTGGAAGGTATTTCTCTTCTTTAAACACACAGAAAAACAATTTAACGTTTGATGAAACAGAAGACACGTGTAACATCGTAAATAGTACTTGCATGGTAGAATGTCCTTATATCTGTTTTTAAAGACATTTTCAGCCAATAGTCCACAGTGACTTGAGTTGGCGTTTGGCTTGGGTAATTTCTGGAGATAGAAAGGTATACACATATAAAAGAACTTTATATACACATATAGCCTAATTTATGTACTCAATTTGAAGTATCCATTATGATAACACTATGTTCATTGATTGAAAACAATTATATGTACGTAAGCATAGACGCCTCTTTAGGTAAGTGTAGAATGGTACGTGTGCTGGTACTGACTATAGTGGAATGTGTGCTGGTAACGCCATGATTGGATGTGTGCTGGTACTGGGCATGGGTGGATGTGTGCTGGTACTGGCCATGGGTGGATGTGTGCTGGTACTGGCCATGGGTGGGTGTGTGCTGGTACTGGCTATAGTGGGATGTTTGTTGGTAGCGCCATGACTGGATGTGTGTTGGTGACGCCATGGGTGGATGTGTGCTGGTACTGGCCAGGGGTGGATCTGTGCTGGTAACGCCATGATGGGGTGTGTGTTAATAATGCCATGATGGGATGTGTGCTGGTACTGACCATGGTAGGATGTGTGCTGGTACTGGCCATGGGTGGATGTGTGCTGGTACTGGCCATGGGTGGATGTGTGCTGGTACTGGCCATGGGTGGATGTGTGCTGGTACTGGCTATAGTTGGATGTGTGCTGGTAACGCCATGATGGGATGTGTGCTGGTACTGGGCATGGGTGGATGTGTGCTGGTACTGGGCATGGGTGGATGTGTGCTGGTACTGGCCATGGGTGGATGTGTGCTGGTACTGGCTATAGTTGGATGTGTGCTGGTAACGCCATGATGGGATGTGTGCTGGTACTGGGCATGGGTGGATGTGTGCTGGTACTGGGCATGGGTGGATGTGTGCTGGTACTGGCTATAGTGGGATGTTTGTTGGTAGCGCCATGACTGGATGTGTGTTGGTACTGGCCAGGGGTGGATGTGTGCTGGTACTGGCCATGGGTGGATGTGTGCTGGTAACGCCATGATGGGGTGTGTGTTAATAATGCCATTATGGGATGTGTGCTGGTACTGACCATGGGTGGATGTGTGCTGGTACTGGCCATGGGTGGATGTGTGCTGGTACTGGCCATGGGTGGATGTGTGCTGGTACTGACCATGGGTGGATGTGTGCTGGTACTGGCCATGGGTGGATGTGTGCTGGTACTGGCTATAGTTGGATGTGTGCTGGTAACGCCATGATGGGATGTGTGCTGGTACTGGGCATGGGTGGATGTGTGCTGGTACTGGGCATGGGTGGATGTGTGCTGGTACTGGCTATAGTGGGATGTTTGTTGGTAGCGCCATGACTGGATGTGTGTTGGTACTGGCCAGGGGTGGATGTGTGCTGGTACTGGCCATGGGTGGATGTGTGCTGGTAACGCCATGATGGGGTGTGTGTTAATAATGCCATGATTGGATGTGTGCTGGTACTTGCCATGGGTGGATGTGTGCTGGTACTGACCATGGGTGGATGTGTGCTGGTACTGGCCATGGGTGGATGTGTGCTGGTACTGGCCATGGGTGGATGTGTGCTGGTACTGGCCATGGGTGGATGTGTGCTGGTACTGGGCATGGGTGGATGTGTGCTGGTACTGGCTATAGTAGGATGTGTGTTGGTAACGCCATGATGGGATGTGTGCTGGTAACGCCATGATGGGATGTGTGCTGGTACTGGGCATGAAGTGATGTATTAAGTGTTAGACATGTATGGAGGTGAATTACAAAACAACCCATGGAGCAAAATGTATGTTTACAGTTATAACACAGTCGCAACTGTAGATGTGAGTGGTTTACCATGAACTCCTCTACCATGTAACTGACTGACTCTTCACCCTGAAGTTCCGGACACATTTGTACTTGAGGAGGACTTCTTGCTGTAAATAAAAACGCTACTGAACAATTCCATGTACTAACATTCCCAATTCAATGTACAGTCAAATACAGTGGTTAATACAGGAATATTTGGAAGTATAGCAGATAATGACGAAGATACTATATTAGCATGGCGGAACATTATACATTACAAGAGAGAATGGACACAAAGATCAACAGTAGGAGATATACGTGTTGGTCTTAATATCACAAAACCAATCTAGAGTATCACTTGCATTTTACTGGATACATGTAACAATTATCCTGAAATCTTACAGATGACATTTTCTATTTTCTATATACAAGTAAATAGATCATTATATTTTCTTGATGTTACAAGCTACAATGTACACTTACAGCCACCGGCGTGTTCATATAGAGGGTTATCAGTGTCAGACATGTCACTGTCGGTGTCCTCATTCTGGGCAGCCATTGGAATGAAAGGAACAATGACCCGGTGGTCATCTTTGTGCCTAAACTTCCGTCTTCGTCTGTAACAATATATTGTACACATGAATAATCTCACTTTAGTGAAGCATGATGAAATATTTAAAAGAACCCTCTAACCTGTGTCTTTCAGGATTATTTCTTAAAGTCATAATTGTTATTATCAACTCAACTTACTTGATCTACATGCTTACCTTCTCCACACAACAAGTCCAACAAGAAGCAGGATCATGAGCACAGCCAACACCACCAGTATTACACCTAGAGTTGCTGTACTGGCTGCAACCGTCGACATATTAAATGTACTGATGTAACAACGCTGCATTATGTAATATACTCAATGACGAAAGAAACGCGAATACCATTCATGTTGGTTAAAGTTTGAAGTATTATTCACATTCAAGAGATATTAGATTGGTTCGATGCACACACGACCATACTGTTATTTTGTGTGAACCGACGCGCATGAACGCTTCACATGTGACGTCATATATCCATGACACCATTTGTCTCGTGCAGGATTAGCGTGTACAGTTTGGAAATCACGTGCAGCATATCGTTATAAGAATAAAGACACTCTGTGGTAACACTTGACTGAGTGTGAGTTTTGTTATTAAGCGGTACACATTGGAAATATCTATTCTCAACGTACATACGTCTCTATGTCTTTCTATGGTTCGCGTTTCTTTTGGCGGTGAGTATACATCAACTCAAAGACGATTAAAGAATACACAGGTGATGATATCTATACATTGTATTGAAAAATTATCTCACATGTTAAATATGATTCACCATTTGACATGAATGTAATCTATTGAGAACAAAATGTATTGTTTAATAAAGAAATAAATCATTCGGATTGGAAAACGGAAGGCGTAAATAGGTGGGACTAATTTATACCAGCCTAAAGTAACCAAAACATGTATGGTGTATCAAAGTTCGTGGAACTGCACACACCATACTCATTTTCTAATCTGTTTGGAGTTTATCAGTTTTATCAGAAATATAAATGCATGTGGTATTTATCAAGTTCAAAGTTCCAGTAATATAAGGCGAAAACAAAGGTTACCATTTATACCTCGGTGTTTATTGACCTCCAACTAGCTGATCTCATATCACTGGTATTATCTACTTCTCCGTGTTGCCTGTATCTATTGTTGTCTATGTTAGTTTAATCACATGTTAGTTCATCCAGAAAATATTGTTTCCAAACATCAAATCAATGTCTCCGCTACAATATTCATTCCATAACCAACTGCACACTGCCTCCTGTAAACTGTCTCTGATCCCCTCCAAGAGTTGATTTACCGGGGTTAATTGTTAGGGGGCAGTTTTCTGTGGAGGGGGAAGGTTTATCCGTAACCGCTTAGCTAATCTCCACTTAGTTACAAATTCCCCGTGTCTTTATCACATCCATCTCTACAGTTGGAGAAACGGCTGTCTTTACATTACGTACCCCTCTAAACTTTCCTCACAGCTGTCACCCCCCCTCTGTTATAACGTCCATCTCTACAGTCGCTCTTACAATAAGCATAGGTCGTCGCGGACCTACTCGGAATCCCATCGGATAATTGTCTGTAGACTTTTTTTTTCTTTTATGTAGGTTTCTTCACTCAGGATACATACTCCAAAGTTAACATAGAGAAACACACAAAATAGACTCTAATGTTTGTCTAGTATCACAATTCGCCGCCATATTATCACGCCATCACAACACAACTACTTTCGATATTTGTCTATTTCCTTGCGGAATTGTAAGAAATAAAATGTGTACAATTTACCTGTCTCTTTGCAACCGCCGTCTTGGTCACATCCTTCGCTACAGGTGGTAGGACAGGAGATATTACAGTACTTCCCACTGTTCCCTGGATTACAACTCTCACACTTTCCGATCTCTTTATCACATCCATCGCTACAGTTGAAGGGACAGGTGTCATTACAGTTCTTCCCTCTGTAGCCCGACACGCAGCTGTCACACTCCCCCGTGTCCTTATCACATCCATCTCTACAGTTGGGGGGACAGGTAACATCACACTTGTACCCTGTGTAACCTGGCTCACAGCTGCCACACTCCCCCGCGTCTTTGTCACATCCATCTCTACAGTTGGGGGTACAGGTAACATTACACTTGTCCCCTGTGTAACCTGGCTCACAGCTGCCACACTCCCCCGTGTCTTTGTCACATCCATCTCTACAGTTTGGGGGACAGGTAACATTACACTTGTCCCCTGTGTAACCTGGCTCACAGCTGTCACACTCCCCCGTGATCCTATTACATCCATCTGTACAGTTGGAGGAACAAGGTGTTCTACAGCGTGGACCGTAATACCGGGGATTCTGACATGGTCCTGTACAGCCATCACCATAACGTTCACACTGTGTACAGGCTGTAGGACAGTTCACTCCACAATTATCTCCCTTCTTGCCGGCCACACATCCCTCTGTACACACAACACGGGTGTTGTCCATCTGACAGCGAGAGTTGAGACAGGTGTCTGGACAGTCATGTTCACACTGTTTACCATAGAACCTGGAGTCCCGACACTGGAGACACTCTCCAGATGACGTCACATTGACACAGCGAGGTGGACACACACCGTCAACACAGGTCACGTTGTAACCGTCACAGTTACTACAAGGAGTACTGGCAGCAAGTGCTGTTAAAAGTAGAAAACAAACAATTTAAGAGGATAAGACAAATAATATTTATGAAAGGAACACATTGATTTTGTGCATTTTTCGAGTTTCATAGTTTCTATGAATTACATTTAATAATAAGAGTGCCACGTGTGTTTTATATGTCTTTTTTCTAACCGGAAGATTTTTATGGAGATGTTAATCGAAAAGGACTCAAGGAATCGGTGCGTACACTACATGAGTCCAACTCCAAAATGTAATTGGAGATGACCGTAAATATCGTGATGACTCACTGAAAACAGCACATACCATCATGAATATAACAGGGTATCTTACAATACTCTTGAGTATTGGGTCATAGCTACAATATTGGGTCAAATATCTTACAAGCCACCTGAGGGTGCCGATTCATCAGAATTTCTTCCAATTAATAGATACTTTCTTAGTGTTTCCGTAGATGTATGTTGAAGATGGCACGCACACACAGGCACACACAGAGACAGACACACACATATACATACACACAGAGACACAAACACACACAGAGACAGACACACACACTCACACACACAATCATACATACAGACACACAACACATACAGCAACATCCAGACACACACACATACACAGACACACACTCACATACAGACACATACAGACATATACAGAGACACAAACTCACACACACATATGCATACATACACAGACACACACACAGGGGCACAGACGCAGACACACACAGACACGCAGACACACACATTGACACACACAGACATACAGATACACACAGACAGACAGGCTGACACACAGACACATACATATATATATATACATATATATATCTATATACGCGCGTGTGTGTGTGCGTGTGCGTGTGTATGTCAGCTTACCATTTAACACAAAACATGAGCAAAAGAGAAGTTGCTTCATCCAATCCATGACTTGTCTTTGTGTGTCTGGATCTATTTTGCCGTGTCCAGACTGAGTGTGGTGGTCATTTCACAGAGATTCCTTAAATAAAAAACACCAAAGACCATATGTTTTCAGCATCACCAACCATGTGGGTTATACATGACGTTCACATTATAAAGTTATGACACATTCAGGAAATCCGAAGTGTATTACAGGGACGTTTCAGTGAATGCACATATATGCAAATCAGCTGAATAAAATATATTAAAAGAGGATACGATACATGCATACAAATTAAACGCACATAAGAAGGTCATAGAAACAAACACATTAAACAATCATTGAAACCTCAACTGGTTACGTTTGCAATCACAAACTAAGCATATTATATGCACAAATATGATCAATTCGTTATCAAGTGTATGATGGGTTTGTTATTTGATCAAGGTTACAACGTTCAAGGCCTGAGCAAAGGTTTTATGGTAGACATATGGAGAACATTTCACAACTTGATGTATCCATGACGATGTCCCAAGCCAGTCCCTATTTTGACTTGTACCTTATGTTCCCGTGTTGTTTCAGGCGAACAGTTGACTTGCCTTTGCATGTGTGTGTGATTCACGAAAACCTGGTATCATAACTATTTGTTAGTGATTCATAAACACATGCCTATGATATATTCGGAATAGCACAATGGATAATGTTTTAAAATAGATTTCTTTTGATACTGGAAATGATGTCGCTTTTCCTCAAATGGTTACGGAATACATATTACAGTTTTTTTTAATAGGTTGACAAATTCAATATACGTAACAGTTGTCACAGTTGCCATATCACAGCGTCAATGTCGTACAATAATTACACCACATTGCACCTTCAACATAACCTGATTAATGCCGGGAAGTGAGTCGAGCAGATACCAGTGAGTCATTCGTTTGTAATTTCCTGTTGCTATCAGGTCAACTGACAGAGTGGCGTGCACTCTTTAGTGTATTTTACTAAAAAAAAAAACTGCTTCAGGGATACATGCCAATATAATGTTATAGAAACCACAATGGCTTATCTAAATGAAAATGACACATGTATCACACGTCAATACCTATATGTGAAACTGTCCTCATATCTGCAATTCAAAGTTGCTTCAAACTTATAGCGAACGAGGGATTGAATGTGTTTTACCGCCACAGCCAGCAATATTTCATCTTTATCACATCAGCCTGTCACAATTCGATTGGGAGAGACGTTCCCCGCCGTCGGGTTCGATAACACGGCACTGAGCCTGAACACCTGATCCATGTCAGTTGCTTCTCATACGAGCACAGGTTACGAGGGGTCAGTTCGATCACGGAATCCCTGGGGTGACCTAATAATAACCTATTAACGAAATATATATTTTACCACATAATATTATATGATGTGGATGGGTGTCCATGTAGTGCTTAAGAGATGGTAACTTCAGCACCCAGAATCCCTCATCGAGAACTGCTTCATACCATTTTGAAGACTTAAGCATAACATTGCTTAACATACGGAGTATGATCCTATACATGTTGGGCTGACATGTTCATGTTATTTTGAACTCATGTTTTTTCATGAACCAATGCAAACATTTGATAAACGGTGATCTGTGCATATGATTTGTAACTACGTGTCAAAAAGGCTTTATATCCAAATCGTGATGTTGTTCGACGTTTATTGTTTATTAATGATTTATAGACAAAATAAATCCATGTTAAAGCTGATGTTTCGGTTTCAGAATATCTGATTTGTCCTTTAAAACCAAGCATACGTGATGTTTGTCCTCTACTCAAACCCGATGCTATTTACTTTCATTCTGGTATTTACTATAATGGTCAATATACATACATAAATGAAAGCTACCGGACAGGAAACTAATGTTTTGGGTCTACCTCCCACATTCATTAAAAAAATCAGTGTCGTAAAGAAACTGCCTTGTAACCTATTGTGAATGCAGTCGGGTATTGTAGAGTAAGGACGTTAGACCATGAATACTGAAATTGTAAACAAAATATCTAGCATTTGAAAGTGCTCTTTTATTTTACTTTTATATAAATGAGAGCGTGATCAATGAAGCAACGATCTATAACAGAGAAAGGTACCTAGAACCATGTTCGTCGGAGCCTCTTGCATATAATTATTCTTTGGTGATATAAGATTATTTTATTGTTATCGCTAATAGCTACTGGTCATATTCACTGGAGTAATGAAATCGATCAAAATAAGAAAATCAATAAAAAATTAATCAAAGGTTGACTATTGCAACATAGTGTATTGATCGTTACCAGCATGTGTGTGTTCTCAATGTGCCTGGAAATCAGTCTGTCCAGTCGTCTTAAAACAAGACCTTTACTTGCATCCAGAGAGATGTTGGAAATGATGGAGAAGGCTGGGACTATTGATTGTCCATAGATTGGACATTTTAAGCCTGAGTACATAACATTCATTTTCAGGTCAGGTACTTCCATGTTTTGTCTTTGCATTGATGCGGAATAGACTACGAGATACACATGTACGAGTCTTTAGCCAGCCCAGGAACACTGTGAAGACATATATTGGTGTACCCCTAAGCCCCGCCACCATCCAAACCAAGGGTAATGTCATTGATCTGGTAGGGGGACACAGTCATGGTGCCAATGCCCTCTCAGTGTGCCTACACTAGTACCTTCTCTTTATTTGACTATACGCAGAATGGGTTGTGGACTCATTGAGCCTGAACCCCTACATGTACTTTATCTTTATACATAAAGTAGTGGAGGCCATAGGCCCATTCTACAGTTACGTCATTGCTTGAGAGAGTAAACGCATATACACATCGGTACAGTGATAGACATTGTTCATCCAAATTATTGACTTACTTCCATTGACTTATACACAAACTAGGGCGGTCGGGTAGCCTAGTGGTTAAAGCGTTCGCTCGTCACGCCGAAGACCCGGGTTCGATTCCCGACATGGGTACATTGTGTGAAGCTCATTTCTGGTGTCCCCCGCCGTGATATTGCTGGAATATTGCTAAAAGCGGCGTAAAATCATACTCACTCATCCAATTTATTATATACAAACGTTGCAAAATGCTTAACAGTTTCTGGATTTCTGAAGACATTAGTAAGTTAAATTTATGTAATGTTGGATATATTTTGCGGGTATATATACTATCTCACGAGATTGTCAAAAGCATAATACACACGTACAAAACGGTATTCATCCTCTATGCATTTTTGTTTGCATACATGACATATTCTATCTGATTTTACTTCTTTAACATATCTACCCCTTCAAGTATATATACAGAAAACGGGACATCGTGACATTGGAAAATAAAAAAACCATTAAAATGTTAAACATTAAACAGAACACAGTGCATTTGTTTGCAGTTATCTGATACCTGACTAAATCTCCAAAATAGTTGATGATATCCACACGAAGATTTATCACAAAAGGTGACAATAATATTTCCAATCGACAGTGACACTCATGACGAACGTTTACCGGAAGTGAACCATTGGAAGGGCCTGTGTCAAAATAACATGGAGCTACATGCCTGGCGCTCAATAAGGGGATGAAACAAGGACTGATCTGCCGTGTCAGTATACTGTGTCTGAGTGGGGTTTCCAAGTTAAACTGCGGCATTAGAGTGAACTATATCTAGGACTTAAAACCTGCATACGTCCGGACTGGTACAAGAAGCCATATTCATATACACACACTGCATGCACATTGATATATCCTTGCAATAATCTTGAACGCGACTTTAAACGTCATTTCTCCTCACCACTGTGAAATAAGTTTGTGTTTCCTGAGCTACACGGCACACTGTGTTTCATGATGAAACAGAAGCTATAGAAGTACGTACAAAGAAAAGGTCACATTTAGATGAAGGTGTTGGTTGTACGTGCCAGTTTTGATTATAAACAAACTGAATCAGGTTTGTTGTTTAACGCCGTACTCAGCAATATTCCAGTCAATGACGGTGGTCTGTAAATTATCGAGTCTGGACCAGACAATCAAGTGAGTGACATCATGAACATCGACCTACGCAAGTGAGATATGATGACATGCATCAATCAAGTCAGCGAGCCTGATCACCCGATCCCGTTAGTCGCCGTTTACGACAAGCATAGTCGCCTTTTACGGCAAGCATGGGTTGCTGAAGACCTATGTTAACCCGGATCTTCAAGGTTCGAAGGAAATTACAGGACAGGCGCAATGATGAATGTAACGATCTATGTCACAAAACATTACCTTTCAGTGACTGCCTCTTGAAATATTACTGAATGCTCTTGGTAGGCTGTGCAGCCATGCAGTATCTGTGTCCTGGTGTGCATGTGTGCTATCGGGTCCCTGAATAAACGCAATCACAAAAACAAGATTCGTTAGATTACAATACTGAAACTGTTATTCTTCCGTGTTTGCTGGTATAAACAGGCCACAACAAGTTGATGACTTGTTCTCCGGAGTCTCCTCGTCGCCTATCTAAAATACCCCTTATTTCCTCAGATGATAATTTTTACCTTAATTGTATGTAAGCTTTTGTGTGCTTGCTGGTAGAAAGGGTAAGTGTTTCATAACATCTTCCCTTACCCGTAAATATGTTTTGTGACATAGATCGTAACATTCATCATTACACCTGTCTTGTAATTTCCTTCGAACCGTGAAGATCCGGGTAAGAATAGGTCTTCAGCAACCAATGCTTGCTGTAAAAAACGACTATGCTTGTCCTGTGAGGCGACTAGTGGGATCGGGTGGGCAGGTTCGCTGACGTGGTTGATGCATGTCATCGCAACCCAACTACGCAGATAGATGCTCATGATATAAATAACTAGATTGTCTGGTCCAGACTCAATTATTTACAGACCGCCGTCATATAGCTGGAATATTGCTGAGTGTGGCGTTAAACAACAAACAAACACACATCGTCCCTATTGTCAAGTTTGGGTGACAGATGTGAACAACGCAGATTGAAATTGTTTTGACCTTACATAAATAGCGGAAAACGTTCGTGTTACAGACTGGTTGTCAAATCTGTTATATCCAATCAATTCCCGAGGAAAGAATCGAAATGTCCTGTTAGTCGGCCGAACAGCGACTATCCCCCTCATTTGTTGAAGGAAACAAAACTGAAATCATAGGCAGATTCCCGCAACACTGCCACGCTATGATTTTTGTTTGTTTGATTGTTTGTTGGTTAACGCCGAACTCAGCAATATTCCAGCTATGACGGCGGTCTGTAAATAATCGAGTCTGGACCAGACAATCCAGTGATAAATATCATGAGCATCGATCTACGCAATTGGGATACCATGACATGCATCAACTAAGTCAGCGAGACTGACCACCCGATCCCGTTAGCCGTCTCTTACGACAAGAATAGTCACCTTTTACGTCAAGCATAGTCGCCTTTTACGGCAAGCATGGGGTGCTGAAGACCTATTCTACCCCGGATCTTCACGGGTCGCTACACGATGAATCAAATAAAACTATGAAAATAAAAGCGACAAAACCCTTTCCATATTCATAAGAAATTGCTGCTAAAAGCAGCGTTCCTATGTACGATTCTAACTATATGATAAGCATGTGTTTATCTCAAACAGATACAAAGGCAAGTCACCTGAAAAGTGATCGGCACTTTCAGCGTTTGACGCACTAAATCAAACGTGTGCGCGATCAATGGGAGGTAACTCTCTGGGCCAAGTCTTTGAAAGGCATTCAGACCTGATACACATAAGGAAGAGAATTTGTTGATGTCAACTACTTTATTGCCATTTACCTATCAGTGAAAATTTTGTCCTGGCTTCCAGTTGCCCATACCATCAGTGCTAATTACTGTAAAGTGTTGGCTTCCATTGTCTATTGCTAATCACCCATCAGCGCAAATTCTTTGTTGGCTTCCCTTGTTAAGTTTCCACTTTTTTTTAATCTTATTACTTTTTTGTTCTTACATGAACATATATATGCTCTCTACCTCATAGCATTCATTCACCTAAATTAAATGAAGGAGTAAGCATATAATCCGAAACGATGTGTTCCTCATAAGTCTGTGGGTGTTCTTATATGAATGTTTACCGCAACTTCTTACTACCATTACCACTACCACTACCACTACCATCACTAATACCACTACCACTGCAACCAGTACCAATACCACTGCTGCCATAACTGCAGCTAATACGGCTACTACCAGCAATATGTACATCTAAGCGTAGAGGGGCGGTTGGCCTGTCTTTGTGTGTTCCCTCGTCACTGCTAAATGGTGCTCCCGCGTGACGATCCGAGGTAGAATTGGTCTTCAGCATCCCATGCTTGTAAGAGGCGACTAACGCGATCGGGTGATCAGGATAGTTGATTTGATTGGAGCATGTCATCACATCATATTGCGTAGATCGATGTTCGTGTTGTCAATCACTTGAGTGTCTGGTTCAGACTCATTTGTTTACAAACCGCCGTCATATAGTAGGATCATTGTCAAACAACAAACAAAACACACATTAGATAGTGCCAAGTCTAACAACTTACCCAGTGTGTTGCCTGGGGTACTGAGGCCGTATAATGTGTTTTGTATTTTTTTAATTATTATCAAGTAACACGTGTGGCGTCTCCTTGGGCATGGCGGCGGTCGGGTAGCCTACTGGTTAAAGCGTTCGCTTGTCACGCCGAAGACCCGGGATCGATTCCCGACATGGGTACAATGTGTGAAGCCCATTTCTGGTGTCCCCCGCCGTGATATTGCTGGAATATTGCTAAAATCGGCGTCAAACTCACTCACTCACTCACTCCTTGGGCATGTCACTTTGTCGAAATGTGCCTCCGTTCACCTAGCAGTGCATGGTCACCCGGTAGGATGAGATGGCAATGGTTGTGAACCTTCAAGCGCCTAACAGACAGCTTGGGTTGCATACTCTCCAGGGAGCTGAGAATGATTCTTGAGTGCACAGTGACCCAGTGACCGGGGTAAAAATAACACTTTGAGCATTCCCCTGAGTGGTGTATATATATGCGCAATATATAATAATAATAATAATAATAATAATAATAATAATAATAATAATAATAATAAAATAATAATAATAATAAAAATAAAACAACAAGTATTATTATTATTATTATTATTATTATTATTATTATTATTAATGTCGATCAACGCCTCTGGTGGCCTGCTACAACTCATTATGTCGTGTTTCATACCAGGACGGCTGTGTGTGTCCCCGGCGAACTGGTACCGACACATGACCCTGCGTGACAACTCTCTTCCCCGGTGGATGTATATCTCGTCCATCCGGTACAAAGTCCCCGCAGCATGCATTATGTATTTATGTTTCCATATAATTTTTTTTTCCGGTGGAATATATCATTGTTCTAAACTTTCATTTTGTAATATCGCATAAGAATTTATTATTATTTGATAATTATTGAAAATATATTTGGTTTCACCATTTATCAAAGAATCTCTTCAAAAGATTCATTGGTGAAGGGTCTGTATTAGATATGTTGATACGTACATTTATGACCTTTTTCGGTTTGTACGTACATAGCATACACATACACAAAATGTTATATGATCAAGGGTTTGCACCAGATGTAGTAACATTCCGCGTTTTTTAGAACGTTATATGGTGAGGGATTGCATCAAATATAAATTACTAAAAATTCGTAAATTCGTAAAATATTATATTATTGCACCTATAAAGATATATTAAAAACTTGAATGAACACGTGAATGTTAACTGACGGTGTTCCAGTTTTCCGTCCGCCTCTATATGCAATTGTCCCAATCCATCTTGGTGTGGTGCTTTGCAATCTAGACTTTAAGTTGACCAGAAACCGTCATCGTCCGCAAAGGCTTTTATATATCAGTATTGGTTACTCTGTACGCTTTAGTTATGATAACAAACAGTATTCGCCATCGAGCAAATCTTCTCCGAGATATTTTAGAAGCAGTTGTTAAGCATTTGAAACAGTGAAAATGACCACAAGGACAGCCATTAGAAACGTGGAGTTGTCGATAACAATAAAATACAGTTCTAACCGCCGTTAAACATAATGTGCACTCAGTCAAATACTGCAAGAAGCATTCGTAGTATATTGCAACGCCATTCATAGCCAGCTTCATAAATAGTATGTCTAGTGGTAGAGCGTCCGCCCAGAGAGCGGAAGGTCCGGGGTTCGATCCCCGGCAGCGTCATATCAAAAGACGTAAAAAGATGGTACTTGTTGTTACCCTGTCTGGTGCTCGGCATTAAGGGGCTAAAACAAGGACTGGTCGGCTTGAGTCAGTATACAGTGTCTAAGTGGGGTATTCATGTTAAACTGCGGCATGGTATCTCAGTGAGCTAGCTCTATAAATCGGCATCAGTCCGGACTTGTACAAGCAGCCACACAAACACACACACGTACATGCACGTCGCTATGTAAGTGCAATAATCTAGGACGCGATGTTAAACCTCCTTTCATCTCACCTCATGAATAGTCTAGTGTTATCTGTGGGATTATAGATGGCATTTCTTGTATTTGACCACTTTCTGAATGGCATTGTGTATTCATAGCTTCATATATAAACTTTCTGGTTTGAAATGAGATCAAATAGTATCCCACTTTTCCGCTTTCTCAACAAACAAGGACATGACAGAATTGTGTTAGAATAAATGAATCCTACTTACATAATCATAAAGAATAGTTTGTTCTTAATGTGTCCTTTATAACTAACATGATAATTTCGGCGGATATGGGTTGACAACTTTGGCTTAAATATCAGCTACGGAATATGTATAACTGGTTATCTTAAAGAGGGAAATCTGCATTCATAGCTAGTTGAATTTTAACAGTCTGGTGCACTTGGACCTTACCGGGTGGTCAATTTTCTCCATCGCACAAAGCTATTTTCATCCAAAGTTCATAGTAATATTGCTTAAATAGAAGCGACAAAACCCAAAACCGAAATGATTGTACGATCATTAGCATGTGTTTATAAATCGCTACCAAGTAGTGATGATACCAGGTGTTCGCGATAAGGCGAACATATCCTGTCCCGCGATTGCCATACTTCAAAAACACACCCAAAGGTTTGTCAATTGTTCACCTGAAAAAAATGGTACAGATGGTACAAGTCAAAATAGGGAACTGCGGCGGACATCATATTTGTCACTGATGCGTCAGTTTGGAAATACCCTCCACATGTCTACCAAAAAACGTTTTGAAAGCTTTACTGAAGCCTTGAATGTTGTTATACCCTTGATCAAACAATTTGTGACCAAGAGTCGTATGACGCCCTTTGAAAAGTCAGGATAGCAGATAATTCGTTTGTTAATTCACATCCAATTTTCATGTATACGATAGAAAGATATAATAACCAAATACAGGCAATGTCGAAATGCTTGCTAAATTATGAATGCAATGATATATATTTTGAGTCAGGATTATTCATAACAGCAGTTTCATGCAAATGTTAAGCAAGAAAAAGACAATTTTTTTGGTCCAGGCATTATGGCATGTTTTAACAAGGAAGTTGAAGTAATTTCAAATGCCTGTCAATGCAATTCGAGATATACCAACTTAAGTTTCCATAAAACATAATGCAGTGTGAGAAATTGAAAATAGCATGGAGCTTAATGTAATGTTGACACGGACCTCTCTCATATTTCCCTGCGGGTATAACGTCCGTCACGAGTAAAAAATGTTGTCATACCTTTTTATGATAAATATTGTGGATATCTGCAAATATCTTAAAGTTCTGTAATCATCTCTTAGATGTTACGTAACATCTTCATAATATTCTGTCGTTATTTTTGTTACTGTCACGGAGTTGTGCTCAAATGATCAGGGATGTCATTCAACAAGAATAAAGTAAAAATGAAAACGTGGTACAGTAGGACATGGATATAACGAACACGGATAGAGCGAACAGACGGATACAGCGAACTGTTACAAAAAATCCCCGATTTATCGCCTATATACTATCACATAAAATCTACGTACAGAACGAACTCTCTAAAAGCAAGATAATCAGGGCAAGGTTGATTATCCATTCATTACCAGAAAAAAACGTAGTGTGAAAAACCCTATATAATAAGTGTAGCTCAATACAACAAGAGTAAGTCAGTACGCGGTCAAAAGTACCGCGGTAATGTGACCGACCTCTCGTCTTATGGAAAGCCGTACATCGTGTAAATTTCACATTAAAAACATATTGAAGGATAAACATGTTAACACAACGCACCTGACGCAAAGATTCCATTTTGTTACGGTTTATAACATTGCCGTCTATTTCGGTGATGAAATGATGGCGTTGCTAATATACATTTCTACATATATTCAGTTTGTCTTGAGTACCGTTACGCGTTCGATTCTCATCACGCCGGTGACTCCATTGAGGAGTGCCTGTAGTTCCGGATGTCTCACTGTGATGGCTTGCATTGATGTAACAGAGTGGTTTGACACTTGTACACTTTGATATTTATCCCTGTAGACCGATTTCCCAAGAAGCTATTGTACATCTCCATAATGGTGAATGTGAATTAGCTGGTGAGTGAGTGAGTTGGGTTGAACGCTGTTTGAACAGTATTCCAGTTATATCACTGCTCTGCTCACCCCCATTGTTGTGGAAGTGTCATTTGAGTTCCGTAGCAGCTAGTAATGGCTACCTTGACAACTAATTTAATGTTATTTTGCACAATCACTCAAACAGTTAACAATGCTAGTTTGTATTTGCATATTACATTTAGACATTTATTGAAGTCTTTTCTGAAGTGTGAATGTATACTCAAAGGCGCGTGATAAATACGGTAACTACGGAAACAAGACAAGACGTACACCTGTAAACTCTTTATTTCGTTAGTAAACTCTTTATTAACTTTGAATCATGTGATTTGTGTTTTGTTGTTGATATGTTTGATACCCCAATATAACACTAAAATGTTACTAGGCCTGATAACTTCAAGAAGATACAGGTGAGCAGAAAGGGAATTCCCTCGACTGCAATATTGGGATTCCCCGACATTCCGAAGTAATAAAAGTAGTGCGCCTCGGTGGGCGTGGCTTAATTATTTACATTCATTGGGAAATGAATGCAATAACACGTGACCAATTCAGCTAATCAGATCACAGGAATTTCAATGACCACAACGAAAATTTAATTTTTTATATTTGACGTTTTGATCCTCCCTGATGACGGGATTCATTTGCATATGGTAGGAGCGCTCCTTATATGGACTGTTGTTCGTTTGCATACCCTCAGTCATTGTTCTGTCTATGTTATACAATTGCATACACAACAGGAGAATTGTTTTTACCAGAGTACCAGGAAAAATATCAGGTGTAAGCAATCATACGTTGTGGAATGAGTGAGTGACATGATAAAATGAATTAGTGCTGGTCACCGACGTTATCGAGTAAATGACCACATACGTTTACCGTGTCTGTTTGGAGATATATCTATATCGCCAAATTCATTTGCAAAATATTCAGCAAACAAAATGTTCTTCCAATATGTCATGACAAATTGAATGCATCTTGTTTGGATATTAACAATCTATGTAAAACAGAACTACAAATTGAAGTGGAGCCAATATGCGAGTAATAATTCCGTATTAGTTTCAGTTTTATTGATTCGGAGTAGAGCTGTGGTTCTGTTATGAATACATTTGAGCAACATGTACGATATCATTAATACTGAGTATAGCTGTAGCTTTTTTTATTATACTTTTGAGTAACATGTACGATTCGAATTTCAGAATATGATATATAATATCGTCAAGGCACAAAACAACAATACCGAGGTGTGTTTCTATACATGAGAACATTCGTCCAAGCTCAATCTAAGCATGTATCTAGTCCCACTCGTTGTTCCTATGCGCCCTGAGATTCAACTACTGTTTAAGTAATTTCTTTGATAGGCATTTAGAAGTTGGATAACTCAGTAAGGATAAGAATTTATGGATAAAAAAACACTTCTTTATTACAATTAAGAGCGACGTTTCGGTGTAGGTTCTAACATCGTTATCAAGCATGTGCAAGTATATAGAACCTACACCGAAACGTAGCTCTTAATTGTAATAAAGAAGTTTTTCATCCATAAATTCGTATCCTTACTGTTTAAGTAATGCCTGTGACAAGCTTATAGTAAACATAAGTCTGTCTCCACAACACATCTATTATTATGTATACTTTAGGACACTATATACAAATGTAATTGGTGATCACCGATAAACAGGCTTATTATATCTGACTGAAACAAAACATGAAAATGACGAGTTTATATACATGAGCAAATATGACGATGATAAATAAAGGTTTGTCCCTACGAATTATATTTATAACACAGTGAATACACATCCAAGAAAATTTAGTACAGTAAACCCGAACAATAATTATATTATTGATAAAATATCATATAGCTGACAAGGCTTTTAAGCTTGAGCAGCCTCTTGAGATCACGGAAGTAACTCCTTAAAACAAGGATACAGCTCGTAGCGCTTGTATTCCCATCCTCCCAGTCCACCATTATTTCATATGTGTTGTTAATACTCAACCACAAGACAGATAAATGTTGTATTAAGTTACACACGTAGATGCCTACAGTATATCTATACTCTATGGTATGTATCAAATGAACATGGTCTCATGAACACTATTAAGTGACCATCATGTACAGCTGCAAACACTGACAACGATTACGAAAGTATGTGTGTATAACATATATAACATTTAAATCAAGTGTTCACCGTCAAAATATACCTGCAATTTATTGTGTCTGCCCAAACAAAATGTAAATCAAGCAAGCAAGGTTCGATGGCAACTGGTTTGTTTGCATGCTGATGTGCTAAAACAAGGGTCAGGTTGGCTTGTAGAGTTGACACTGAGTAACAGTAATGTTTGTACGTCATATGTCAGGACAAGTGTTATATCGCAGTATTTGACCTGGGGCAACATGCAATAACGAGGCGGTGCAGCGTTGCAGAAAAAAACAGATGCTTACGTACAAGAATACCAAAGGGTTGTCCACGGCGCATTTAAACGATGGTGTAAGTACATGCAGTTTGAGAAAAGCACATATATCAATATTAACAATACATAGGAAGCTGGAGGCAGAAGAAGAAGAACCGACTGTAGTGAGAAGATATCAACACAACGAACCAGGGAAAGTTGTTGTTGTTGTCTTGTTGTGTGGTATCACTGTACAAGACAGTTGGGGTGGACACGGTGTGATGTAGCTACATACCAAACAACATATCGGTGGGATAATCACCAAGACAATGGCAGCTTGCCTTATCGTGTGGATAGTTATTTGTGAAATTATAGTGTCTGCTTTCGGTAAGTATTACGTTCATCACATTTCATGAAATAGTTTTATTACTTCATCTAAGAGAGAAGTTATGCTCACTAGTAGAATCATGTTTGTCGTCAAACAAGGAATGCGCATCAATTTTCTTGGAGTGGAAAGGGATTCAAAGTATTGCTTTCCTTTAAAGAGCTTGCCGCTCAGTTGTCGACTGTGTTAACCGCAACGATGTGATGATCCACATGTTTAATTGTACTCACAGTGAGTTCCTTTATCTTTAATGAGTTGTCCAAATAATACCGATGGCTTCTGTTAGATGACATTCTAAATGTCAGCTTTTGTGAGTCATTACGTCGATATGGAGTACCGTCATTATGATCGCCTAAAGCGCTACAATTTCATGTTGCATCCGTTTAGGTGTGTCTTTATTGTGGGTTCGAATCCTAGTTCTCTTTGAATATGTTTCTCGGTTTGTCAACGGGTTTCACTAAAGTGGTAAATATATAAGATCTGCATCACTTCAGACTTATCTCCCGCATTAAGCTGACACGCTGTGGTATAACTGAAATAATGTTCAAGGCAGCGTTTGAAGCCTCACATTAATGTCACGTTGTTGTGATGTCATGTTGTCGAGTGTCGTGTGGCCGACATGATGTGTTGTAGTCGTGTTGTGATGTCATATTGTCCTATTGTAGCATGATGAGGTTGTGTCGTTTTGACGAACTGCAGATGTGTTGTGATGTCGGTTTGTAGCGGGATGCTGTTTCAACAGTCGTAGTGTTATGACGTCGTGTTGACGAGATGCTGTTTTGTCGTGATGCCGTGTTGAAGCATATTGTCGTTGTGTCATGATGTCGCATTGACGTGATGTCGTTGTGTCGTTGTTTCGTAATACCATGTTGTTGTAATATGATGTCGATGGTTCTCTGTGTCGTGCTGTAGTTGGGTTGTGGTGTCGTACTGACGGGATGATGTGTTGTAGAATGATGTCGTATTGTCGTGGTATCACATTGTCGTGTTGTAGCATCATGTCGTTGTGTTGTACGTAGTCTCGTGTTGCCGTTGTGTCGTAAGGTCATGGTGTGATGTCGTATTGTCGCATGAAGTTGTTGTGTGGTAGTTACATTTTGTCATAATATCGGGGTGCCGTTGTGTCGTGATGTCGTTTTTTCGTGATGTCGTGATGTCGTGTTGCAAGCATGATGTCGTTACATCGTAATGTCGTCTTCCATCCTTCTGTTGCCAGTATGTGCATTTTATGGTTGTTTTTCGAAACAGCAATATTATCAAAAGACAGTGTTAGATGCACACCTATTAGGTCATATTGTAGCAATATGACAGTCAGTTAACATTCATTGAGGGTATCAACTGATGAAAAATACACATTACACGTCTACTGCACTAAATACATTAGTCGAATATATTTTTTAAATGTGTAAATATAATTTTACAACGTTTTAGTATAGTTCACCCTTACCGCAGCTATGATCCAATGCTTTAACCCTCTGCTGCCCAACAGTTCTTTATAAAAATGTTGAAGAGTATCGCTAAACTAACATAATTTGATTTACACTGACATGCTGAGAAATCGACATTTTACCTCAGGAATATTGGCACTGAACGTTGTTTTGAGATGTCAATAATCAAACAGTTACATGGTGATGACAAATTCAGATTCATATGCATAAAGAAATACACTACTGCCTAGAAGTTCATTCCCCTAACACGCGTTGAGAACGCGTGTAACACGCATGTGACACGGGTACTCAACGGGTTGCACACGGGTTGAGCATCCGTTCAACACGCGTGTGCAACAGGTGTGCAGCGCATGTGAACCCGTTGAGCACGCGTGGGTCACTCGTTGAACACGCGTGTGCCATGCGTTTGAAACGAGACCGGGTTTCAGTTGAATTTGAGAAATATATCAAATGTATACTGAGATAAAACAAAACAGTGAGATGTGTTTGTGAGCGACCACTGACCTGTGTTCACCAGACAATAAACACAAGGTCGGCCCGTCTTAATTTGTGTTCGGTTGCTGGACTTTTACGACATGAACCATTCCACAAGGGTCCAGTCTAGCCATTGTGGCTAGCCGACAGTAGAACAGTAGTGAATTTAGATGCGGGTTTATTGCTAGGGGAACCCCCGAGTTGTCACGATTGTCGCGGGTTTTTAAATGTTCGCCATTAATGAAGTGATTGTTTGTGGATTGCGGACATATTCGTTTTACGTTTTGCCCACATTAGTCATTCTAGGTGATTGCAAACACAACGTTTTTCGATCGCCAAATTTATGCTTTAGGTAGTACAATTATGATAGAGTTGTCACCACTACTAATGTCTTAATATTAGGATCTGAAACTAGACTGGCACAGTGGGGACTTTGAAATATTGGGAATAAAGCTTAACTCGAACTTAAATAATCTGTGGGTAATCAATACAAAGAAGAGAATTGAAATTATTAACCAAATTTTAGGGAATTGGAGGAAAAGAAATTTAACATTGATAGGTAAATTGCTGTTGTCAAAACCTTGGCCCTATCAACCTTAGTACATATTTTCTCTTCTCTTCCAAACCCACCAAGTGAATTTATTGATGAACTAAACAAAATATTGTACAGATTCATATGGAATGACAAAAGGGACAAAATAAAACGAACATCTTTAATTAGAAAATATGATGAAGGCGGACTGAGAATGATAGAGGTAAAGTCTTTTATAATCGCTCTAAAACTGTCAGTTCTCAAAAAACACCTCCAAAATAAAAACTGTAATAACCCTAGCATCTTTCCACTCATAAACATATTCCTACTTGCGGCCAATATTGAAAACTGTATGCACTTAGCTCACCCTTACTGGAGAGATGTTTTGTCTGCTTGGGGGACACTGTATAGAAGACACAAAACTAACTCCACAAACATTGAAGAAGTACTATCAGAACCTCTTTAATTTGCAATTGGTGTAACCATCAGTTTAAAAAAACCGATTTCATTATAAGAAAGGAATTTACACTATTAAAGATCTCTGCAATGAAGATGATATAATGCCCTTTAGTGAACTTAAAATAAAATACCAAATTAAAGGCACAATTATTGACTATTACCAAGTTCTATTAAACATACCAAAATCCTGGAAAGATACTATTAGAAATTATCACATTATTTTATATAATCAACATTTAAATACAACTTTGATGGACTTACTTGTAGCGCCTAGAGGCTCCAGATATTTTTATGATAAGACAGCAAATCTACCAACAGTCTGTGAAATATGGGATACCATTCTCGACTTAGATATATCATGAAATGTTTTTATCAGATATAGAAAATGTACAAAAAACGTAAAATTACTTGATTTTCAATATAAATTTATTTATCGCACCATCTATACAAAGAAAGAATTGTTTAAAATGAAAATTCTCGATGATGATCTGTTCTCATTTTGTTAAACTGATACTGAATCCTTACTTCATGTATATTTGGATTGTAAGCATGTTAAAGAGTTTTGGGCTAAAGTTGAATGTTTTCTGAATACAAAATGTTCAAAACAATTTACATTTACAAAATGCTCTGTTTTACTTGGGTACATCTCTAACATTCTATTAAATCACATTATACTGGCATGCAAAAAATATATACATGTATCAAGTATTAAGAAAAACAAATTGTCACTTGAAACGTTTCTGAAGACTTTAATTGATATATTTTGGATAGAGAAATCAATTGCACACAAAAACAATACAATAAGACAGTTTGACAGAAAATTGAAAGATTTGGCAAATGAACTGTCTAGTTAATATGTCTATATTTTAAAAATAAATAAATTATTTAAAAAAAATAATTTTTTTAAAAGTTTTTAAATTTTTTTTACACAACCAATTTGTTAGGATTTAGCTTCACACTTAGGTAATAAATATGGCAAATATTTGCCCGTTTTCACCATTTGTAAACTTTGATGGACACCTGTAGCAAACTTAAACTTGCTGACCTGCTGTCTGCTGTATAGGTAACCTATACCTAATAAGTATGCTACAAGACGTGCTATTCCATGTATAACTCTGAATTGAATAAAAATATTAAAAAAAAATAAAAATAAAAAATAAAAATAATGTCTTAATATTTCACGTAGGAATATGCCCCATGTCCCCACACCCCACGTTCTGCTTTGTATTTTGTAAGCATTAATAAGAGAATAATATAATAACTGTGTCCAGTCTACCACGTGGTTTGATGCGGTGTCAGCGTCGAATGATGCTGTAATAGTTATGAAAAAAATCGTTGTGTATCGTATATTTTTCTTACTAACTATCCTCTTATTTGCTAAAATAAAACAGATTTTTCCAACAGTAAGTCAGCTAACTAGAAGATCCACTGACTGCTATATTCCTTATATAGGCTAAACGGTCCTGTTTGTGCACACGACCTAACATTCGAAACTAATAAAGTCAATTTTAAGACAGTACAGTCTATAGAACCGAATGATAATATGTTCAGATCGCATCTGTGCTGTATAAGAGGGTGGCCATGCCCGGAAATGTTAGACGTTGGATCGCAAGTGAGAAACATTAAAGTAGATACACGAGAGTTGGGACACTGGCTGTGTAACACCAAGACATGCGGTTTGAAATCAGATCACTGACATGAGAGATGGGTGAGTGAGTGAGGTTTTACGCCGCTTTTAGTAATATTCCAGCAATATCACGGCGGGGGACGCCACAAATGGGCTTCACACATTGTACCAATGTCGGGAATCGAACCCGGGTCTTCGGCGTAACGAGCGAACGCTTTAACCACTAGGCTACCCGACCACCCCTACATGAGAGATGAGGTTAATTAAACACAAACGTTTGCTTTCATATAAAGCATTATGAGAACTGGGGGACCAATATGCAAGTACGCGCATTCACACACTGAAGCAAATTATATTTGATATAGAATAGGTTTTCATTAATCTGAACACATGTTTATCAACAATAAGCAAATTAACAAGTCCATGGAAAATGCTTTGTTGCATTTTAATGGGTTTTTTTTGTTTTCACCTTGAATAATATATCATAACAGACTAAGAGACGGCTTGGGCTTCCTCTTGAAAGTACTAAAATAACAACTGTTGTTTACTGAACAGAGAGATTTTTATGATAAAAACATTGACCATTAATTTCTTCTCTAATTTTCCAATGTAGTTCACTTCAAATTTCTTTTCTTTTTCTTAACTGTAAAGAAAAACGTCAACATGATCACAAGGTAATGCGCCTGTTGAATGTTACCCTGTGAGATCTATCAGATCTATAACGGAATTGATGCTTTCTACAGGTTCAGCATATTCCAATTGCCTCCACTCGTTATTTGAATTCTTAAGGAAAATGTTTCCTTTCTCCCTTAATACCGTTTTTATTATGCACGCAAAATGTAAAATATATACTTAGTGAGATCTTTAATTATATTATCCATACAATAAACTGATGTTCATTCATTAAGATATTCTAAAGGTGTCGTGTAGAGAACAGTCCCTTTGAATATTTATTTGACAGATTATAATAATATCAAAATTCATCACCACTTGCAAAGTTCACTGAAATGGCAGTCACCACTTGGAAGTTAAGGTAGACACAATATTATGGATAACAACTTCTTTTATACTATAAAAAGCGACGTTTCGGTATAGATCTTTATACCGTTGTCAAGCAAAACTGATTGAGGGATATTGTACAGAATATATATAGTAGGTGGGGGATTAACAGTAGAGGATTAACAGTGACAACAATATTCATTTCAAATATACACCAATAAATAGTGGGTAAAGTCAGAATAACACCTGTGAAAAGATACCCCAAGTCCCCCACCAAACATCCTCTTGTTAACTTTTACAAAAAAACACACACAAAAAGTGGGGTGTGGGGAAACGTTCAGTAATATCAGGGGAACTATTTTTTCGTAACGAGTTACGGTACTTTTCTTAATATCCTTATAGACCTTCTATTATAAGAAATACATCTTTTTGTAGACCGTTCAATGTCAAGTGTTTATATGCTACTAACGTTTAAATATATCTAATTTTACCGTTTCTAAAGATGTTGAAACATGTCACTGTGTCAAACGTATTTAAATTTATCTTCACACGCAGCGCTTTTAGCACACACACACACACACACACACACACACACACACACACACACACACACACACACACACACACACACACACACACACACACTCCATTTACATCCATACATCCATGTAATTATACATACCATGCACACATACGTACCATGTAATCCTACGTACATACTAAATACATAGGAAGTCAGTATGTATCAAGTCTTTATAACCGGTGAGGTTGTAATAACTGTCACACCTGATTTACCTGATTTATTTATCTGAATGAAACGTTACACAGTTATTCGGGGTAACGATTTTCTGTGCTTTAGAATCAAAGTATCGTTTCGTACATGTATGTACAGTACATATATGTTACGATGACGTGTCATTCCTCAGTACGATGTATAGCATAAGTGTATACACTTAAAAGTAGACACATGTTAACGATAATTATTTTCTGGGTTAAATTCGAGTTGACATTTTAATTTTTTGTTACATAAGATGAAAGAAATGATGGTGCAGAAAGAAAAGACTCGCAATTAACACTATAACCGTGATGTAATCACGTTACTCAATACAACCCACAAAGAAACAATATATAAGACAGTTTTTTGCTATTTATTCCTTATTTTATATCAATAAATCATTTATGGGTACCAAAGAATGAATACATATCGCAAATATGATTGTATTATTTCATGAAATGTTTATTGAGATCGCAAATCGTTTTTTTGATATCAATTACTGAATTTGATATATCAAATAATGTACATTATCATCTAAAATATCCATAGCCTTCGTCTGCGTGACCTTATGCCCATTATTTAATAGTTCGTGAAGATAGGTAAGATAGAAGATAGACTAATAATGTACGTGTACTTGGAAAAGATATATATTGTAAATGCCAAAATGATGCATCAAGGATCAAGTAGAAGATATTTTGACAGGAGCGCTGGGAATTTATTCAACAAGCCCGTGAAAACAACACTACTTTAGCTCAATCTTTAACTTTCCTGGCGGCCATGTTACACACAACCACGTATTAGGTCTCTTCCTGTTGTACGGTAGTTAGTAGAACCCTCTCCTTCAAGTGTATACTCCGTGATATATCCTACTCTCATTAATTAAATGCTGCTCTGTTCCAACGTCACGGATATAGTGAAACTTATGGCTACGTCGTAGTTACGGAACCCATTTTGAAGGCTTATGAGTAGGTACATGAGGACTTACAGGCAAAAGTTCAGGAATTACAGGAAATGTGACAATCAAACATATGTTGAGTTTGCTCGGTTCAAAGAGATTGCTTGTCATAGATGGTGTGCATCCAAGGAGGTTGTTCAATATTTGGACAATTTGAAACATTTAATCTTTGATGAGTAGTTTAAAATGTGTACTCCTAATGTCGCGGTTAAAGTGTACTTGGATGAACAAGGACAAATAGTTTGAGTAAAGCTGCTGAATTATTATGAAGGACATAATGGTTACCAAGGTTATTGCAGTGTTCAAATCTCAGGTAATAACGCAGGTAACAAGCAAAGCAGGTCAAATACTTCTACAGGTGGAGGTGATCAGAGTAGCGCGCGGTAGCAACAATATATCAAATATATCAATCCGAGTTGATAAAAGTGGGAAAACTCCGAGGCTCGCCGAGAACTTACACGGGAACAAGTGAACTCATGCAGAATGTGGTCTTGTCACTGTTCCTCTTCATATTCGGAACTTGTATCAGAAACGGTTAATCGTCAGTCCATGTACTTCGGTATTTGTTGTATATAGAATTGATAAAATCTATATATGTGTAAAAGATAGATAGATAGATAGATAGATATATTTATTTCCTCCACTATTCTACAATATAGAACATAGATACATGAACCTTAATGAAACAAAGTAGTTACATGTCCTAGTGAAGGGGTATGAACAAATGATGCCACTTGCTAACATAATCAAAGACTAGTAACATAGTTTCGCCGCATATATCAAGCTCAATGTGTATCATGCAATCAGGTAGTCCGTCTAGGAGGAAAGACATGATAACATCATCATTCTACCAAAGCAATTCAGAGCAATTCACAATGGTAATGTCAAAAACATATGCATATTCCAATATTTCATTTCTTTCTTGCACATTTATAGTAAATGACATTAAAATGTGTGTGACTATGTCATGGGCTACTGTTCCGCAATGACATTCTCGCGATTCTATCTTTTTGCATCCTATTTTGCCCATATTAGTCAGAACATAAAATATTGAAAGAAAGCGTGAAGAAGGTTGCCAAACCCTGTGTTGATCTTCTGATCTGATACAAATATATCGAGACAGACCCTGTCGGCCGCACATTTGTCTCACAAGCATAAACGAATCTACATTTACATTTACTAGGAACATTACAGCTCCGTATAGTGAGAAGTCGATGAGACAATCGGTAACAAATGTAATGTCGGGGTTATCTTTCTATTACTTTCCATTCATGACAGTAATAGTTGAACACAACTGGATACTTTGTTGTCGTCGTGTATCAGGTCTTCGACATCTACAACATCCTCACTTAATAATGTATCCAACTGAAGATATGTGTTGTTTGCAGGAGAGGCAGTTTACTTTGGAACGTCGCAAAACTACGCGTGTCACTGTAAGAACAACAATGAGTGTAATCGTGATACTGGAGACTGCGGTAGAAGTAGCTGTGAACATGGATGGATGGGACCAAGCTGTCAATATGGTATGCATGTTACCGAACTTCAAGGATGTTTAGCATACGGAAATTAATGTAAAGGATATATGCATATACAACTCATTTTTTATTGTTTTTGTTCTATCTGGTGTCAGATTCGGGACACTTTGTCAAACATTGAAACAAATCTAATCTGCAATTTACGGAGGCAACAAAATGCGAAATACTCCTCATTGCAAAATTTATGTAGGAAGAGAACATTTAAGCAAGAAGTACGCATACCCATGGGCTTCAATTGTGCCCACTGATCTGTTTCGTTATGCATATGAAGCGGAATTTCGCATCGGATTGGCAAACTCAATACACAGAAATGTGGCCAAGTTTAACAGAAGCTTCAGGAATACTGATGCTCTGATAGTGATCAACGGGCAGCACCATTACAGCAGAAGACCTGGGGAAGAGGAAAATAATTTTTCTATGTTAAGGTCATATGGTCATTTCTTCGGAATATGTATTGTCTGGTTCTCTCTTATGATGCTTACTTTCTGTTTGCAGTCAATCTCGCCGCTGGAGGAACAGTCACTGTGCGTTACTCAGCTAAGACATTACTTAATGATGGAAGAGATAATACTTGCAGCCAGACAGATTATGGAAGGGAACAGACAGTTGCTGTTTCTTTCCCTACAAAACGATGGATTACAGAGATGGAAATAACAACAAAACGTACTGCGAATTCCGGTAATGTATTGATGAACAGTGTGATCAGGTTGTGAACGACCACTCTGCCATTGAACTTTCAAACTGAATGATATGTCAATTTTGGAAATGACTACCGATAATTACAGAAATACAAAAATTCGTTGGATCGAGGCTACGATTAGCATCAAGTATGATCCTTGGTCTATCAGCACCAATAAAAAACAAATTGATAAACGACTTGCGTTACTTTTGGCTTTCCTCGCTCGAATAGCTGATGTTGATAAATGAACTATGTACAAGCTGACACATTCTTTTACTTAAAAAGTACATGTACACTCTTTCAGATATTACCAGAAAGAAAATGAAATTACAACAAAAAATATCAGTTGAATGCCAATGGTAAGAGTAACCTGAATTCCATATATTGAAATGTACCATATGTTCTCGTGTTTGTACAGGTTACCACTTGACTTGCCTCTACATGTGTGTGGGACGGTTGGGGGAGGGTACGCTCACCTTTTCGTGAACACTTGGCCTCATCACTATTCAATAGTGATTCATAAACACATGCGTATGGTTATGAAATAGTCGGAATCATACAACGGACTTTGCATTTAGCAAAGATTAATGATTTGGGAAAGAGTGTCGTCGCTTATAATAAACTCTTTTTATAAAACGTTTAATTATCTCGACTATTACTGCCTATGTACAACCCTTTATGAGTGATATGTAATGCACAAAAAAGTAGACGACTGGGTAGTGCGAATATATAATACCTACACATTTCTTAACACAATTGCATGTTCTACCATAACTCGTCCGCTCACTCAACAGACAGGTTCGTCCCACCTCCGTAGATAAATGTTGTGTGTCAAGTTAACTACAGCTGGTATCTACTGTCATGGTGGATTACTATATTGTACTACACAAGTATATAATGTGAATTTCTCGCGCATTTATGGTTGTCATTTTTTTCATTTTTAGGAACAATTGAAAATATTGTTGTCGTGGGCGAAATTAAGGGCTTACCGACAGTTTGTAGTTCTCCCTACTCCCGCAATGATAGCTTGGTGTTCAGCATTGTGTGCGAGAGACCGATCCTGGCTACAAGAATCACAGCCATGCTTACACTCAGTACAAGCTCTTATGCCAATATTTGTGAAGTGCGGATAAATGGAGGTACGTATGTTTTTGTTTTCTTCATAGCTGTTTTTTTTCTTGAATAGATTCGTGCATTTGAACATATTTTTCATTACACAGAATGTGTCAATATTGATTTGTCCGTGCGTTATCTTAAGACAGTTAATACGTGTGTCCTTGATTCTCTACAGAATTGCGTGCCGTAGTTGTGCCATTTTGGCTGAGTGAGTCCCACTATTACAACAAATATAAGAAATTGCATTACATTTTGCACACCAATGGCTGAGTAATGGCCATATATAGATCTTTCACTTTGATTGCCATTGCGGCCACTCATAAAAGTCATGAAGCCATTTTGAACAAAACTGGCGGAATAATGGCCATGGGTATGCTTTTCAATAGGGCTGCTGCGACTGTCATAGGATTTGAACCTTTTGAGCAAATTGGGTTTAATATACGGGAACAAACTTGTGAAGTTTTAATTGTAAACTTGATTCGGTGTCTGAGGATAATATAAGATGCATGTCGGACAACAGTCACCGGACGCCGAACCAACAGGCCATCTAAGCTCACTTGACTTTAATTGTGTCGTGAAAGAAGTAATTGATGATCTACATATTTATGTACTATGACGTGATATGAAACTGACAAGTCCGAATGCAGGATAAAAGGAGGATTGCAAATCAGACATTTCTTTACTCGATGTCATGCACCAAATGTTTGTAGCCAGTGTATCATATATGAATAGTTGTATATCATAGTCGCTTCTAATTTATATAGGTATCAACATTGCTGTGAAGAAACCAACAAATCAAACATCAAACTATGTCGACAATAAAAGGTCCATCGTGTATACATCGGACCTGGCAGTTGACGGGAACACACAGTCGCGATTTGAGTACAAATCATGTTCCCTCACAAAGGCAGCATGTGACGCCTATAATAACAGTCGCTGGACTCTGAACCTGGAAACATCATACGTCCCTCTGATGATAAGAATATATAATAGAGCAGGTCCAGGTAAGTACATTTATATTTTGACATCATCAACCATATGTGCTTTAAGTGATAAGACACGACGATCGAAAGTGAGTGAGTTGGGTTTACCCTCGCTGAGATCAATATGTCCATCACGGCCTAACGCCCGTGGGATAGATTGATGCAGATCTTAAGCATTTACTGCTTTGGTGAAACCCATGTGGGTGGGTATTGTGCAAAGACCAAGAATTAGCAGGTTGAAACTGATTAAAAGCCAAACAAAACAAATTGAATAGTTAAAGTGACACAAAGTAATATCCTTTACATTCACCCGATTGGAGAAGCATTGCATATGTCGAACGAATGAATATTGTATGTATCATGTACTCGTTTTAAACAATATTTGACGAAAACAGTGTATATCGCTCTTTAGTCTTCAAACACATTCCCTGAACCACGGCAACACCTGAAATGGAATCAAAGTGAGGGCAATGCGTCCACAGCTGAATTCTGTGGCAGGATTTCTCTTTCCGCACAGGGCATTGGCGATATTTCGATATTCATGCCCTTATAGTCCTGTGTGACTTTACTAGTTTCTGGACCGCCTCCGTGGTCTAATGGTAGAGCGTCCGCCCGGAGAGCGGAAGGTGGGCGGAGAGCGGAAGGGCCGGGGTTCGATCCCCATACCAAAAGACGTTAAAAGATGGTACTTGTTGTTACCCTGTCTGGTGCTCGGCATTAAGGGGCTAAAACAAGGACTGGTCGGCTCGGAGTCAGTATACTGTGTCTGAGTGGGGTATTCATGTTAAACTGCGGCATGGTATCTCAGTGTGCTAGCACTATAAATCGGCATCAGTCCGGACTAGTACAAGCAGCCACACACACACACACACCTACACGTGCATGCACGTCGCTATATAAGTGCAATAATCTTGAAGGCGACGTTAAACCCCATTTCACCTCACCTCACCTACTAGTTTCTGCAGTTGCAAGTATACACATATGACATAGATATATAAGTCTATGTATTACATACACATTGACAACCAGTACAGGCTCATCACTGATTTCCAATGATCAATTCGTAACACTTTGACCGCATTTTTGCCTTCATGCACATGGAATAAGATAATCGAGACTGGTTGTTGTCTGGCGTTGACTTTGGATATCATACGAATTGAAATCGTTTCGAGACTCCGAGCATCGTTTCATTCAAACCAGACAATGAAATCACAAATGTATTCAATTTAATGTATGTTCATAATTGAGCACATTTTCACATTTTTGGTGAGTTTATATGTGTTGTTGTCATTGCGGGTCACGGGTGGCCCAGTGATCTTAGGTGTCACCATTCGCTGGACAGAGCTATGTCCGATAGGCGTAGCAGACACATATTGTCGTGGGCTCGAATCCCGGTTCGCACTGATTATGTTTGTATGAGTGTCAGTATCCGACCCCTGTTCGTGAGTTTCATCACGGGGCAACCGTCTGCGAAAATCCTGCATCACTTTCCTTCCTCATCAAGGCGACATGCCCTAGTGTTACCGATGAAATGAATGTTCAAAGCGGTGTTGAAACAAACTCACTCACTCACTCTTGACATCGCAGGGTTCACACAACTTCTGGCCGGATTCAGCCTGCAGACAACAACTCCTGGCATTACCGGATGGCAGAACATCTACACGGATAACTCCGCGGATCCCGGGCAGATCATTATTCTTGTTCCAGGCCAACTACACTCCATCAGTCTTCTGAGGGTGACCACACGGCAGTGTCAAAGACTAGCATTGTGCGAAGTACAGATGTTTACAGGTGGAACCAATTAACATGTTGACGGCAATAACATTTGATTTAACATTCACACAAGTCTGTGAATGTTACAACATAAACAATGTGAATGTAAAAAACAAAATTTGACATTTATATCATGTAAGAAGTACATGTATTCATAAAAGGATCAGGAATCTGTATTATTGTATCACTATCGAGTTCTTAATGAATGATATTCCGCACTGCGAATATATAATGACAAAATAACTTAAAGGCCGAAAATTCGAACAAACACCTACCTGTACATCCAGTGTGTTTTCGTTTGTTTGTTGTTTTTAACGCCGCACTCAAAAATATTCCAGCTATATGTCGGCGGTCTATAAATAATCGAGTCTGGACCAGACAATCCAGTGATTGATATTATGAGCACCAATCCACGCAATTGGGATCGATGACTTGCATCAACCAGGCCAGCGAGCCTGATCACCCGATCCTGTTAGTCGCCTCTTACGACAAGCAAAGTCGCCTTTAACTATTCAGAGTGAGTGAGTGAGTGAATGACTATGGTTTTACGCCACTTTTAGCAATATTCCAGCAATATCACGTCGGGGGACACCGGAAAATGGGCTTCATGCCTTGTACCCATGTCAGGAATCGAACCTGGGTCTCCGGCGTGACGAGCCAATGTTTTAAACACTATTGGCTACCCCACCGCCCCTGTATATTCAAAGGAGATGGAGATGATACCATATGGAACCATATAGCACAGAAGTATTCATAGCTCAGTCTTTTAGTCATAAACAGTTATAAACATAACGAACATAGTCGTCCACATGTAATGAGGGACGTATTTTGGCGTGTTTCGAAATATTTTTCCCCAAATCTCGTTGCCAAGCTGAAAACCGAAGAACTGTATCCATGCTTACAGAGATGAGTTCAGATAAAAGTAGGTGATATCCTAATGTGGTAGTGGGTATACATACTAAGGCGCCTCGCGTCTTTGCAGCGAAAACGTGGTGACATATGAATCAACCAGTGTTTTTTTCTATTAAGTTTGTCCTGACAACTGGTACGGGTACGGTACGGGTGAATGAATAGCAGCACCTCCAAATACGTATTTTAACATACATGCGTACAAAGGTTCAGCCATATTCCCCTACCCCGCTAGTAATACAGTTTTATCATAACGAGTTCCCAAGTTACAAAGACTTATTGCTGTGAGATATTTGTGTGTGACACTTAGATCTGTCTTGGGAAGCCATTGAACTCTAAGTATGGTAGCTCGTAACGTGAACAGGGTCAGTTGTGAGAGACACGAGACATAGATCAATCATGATGACATCAAGATACCCGACGAGGCCAGCCAACTTATATTGGTTTATAAAAGTCGTGGCGAAGGATAAATATATATTTTGTAACGAGTAATGATAAAAGATGATATATGTATAGACCCTAACCTTTCATTTTCCGAATAGGAATGACAGATATGTAACTTCAGCAAAGATACATGTACATGTTTCTACTACGTAAGATGAGTTAAATTTGTATGAAGCATATTTCTATTTGCAGTTTGCGGTGATGGATCCTTTGGCTTGAATTGTGCTCTCCAGTGTCGTTGTTACAACAAATCGGAGGCCTGTGACAAGGTCACTGGCAGATGTAGCTCTGGTTGTGCAGCTGGTTTCACAGGCGATGACTGTCAGACACGTGGGTGCATTACTAACGAAGACCGTCAAACTCAAATGATACCGTTTGCGTTGAAATTTCAAATATCAAAAAAATAATTTGTCTTAGTCCCTTTCTTATTGTCAACATACGGCAGTAACCATCATGTAACCAAATGATACCGTTTGCGTTGAAATTTCAAATATCAAAGAAATAATTTGTCTTAGTCCCTTTCTGATTGTCAACATTCGGCAGTAACCATCACATGAGAATGCACACCGAGGAAATGTGATAAATCATTTCAATTAAGAGGATGGTCTTCGTATATCTCATTACACAGTTTTACTATGTTTTATAGCATGCCGGAAGGGGTGGTTTGGCGTAAACTGCCAATCACCATGTGGAAAGGAGTGCACAAACAGTGTGTGTGATGGCGTGACGGGCGTTTGTACCGAAGGGTGCAAACCTGGATACATTGGTGACATGTGCGATCAACGTGAGTACAACCAGTTCAATGAAAACAACAAAATCCTTTATTTTACCTTCATGTCAGAATGTTGTACAATTAAGGCACCGATATCTGGGTTACATGTGTGTGAAAAAAGTAAACAGTTACTGGTGGAGATATGAGAAATTCTGCTTGATACGAACAACAAACTGTGTACTAATTGGCCACACAGCGTCTTCTTGTTTAATAATGAAAAGCCACAAAACCATTAATTTACCATCATCATAAGAAACATCCATTGCCCAGTCCGTCTTTATCATAAGCATGTGTTTATGAATCATTATCAAATAGTGATGATAACAGGTGTTGGTGAATCCTGCCCCACCGACGGCACTCATCACAAAAACACACAAAGGTAAATCATATGACAAGGGAATCCTATGGTACGTCAAAGGTTATTTAGTATTATTTGCGGAACACACTGTTTTGATTGAGCTTGATTGGTTCTCCCTCTGTGTTCCAAACAATTTGCTTTTTCATTCAACTTACTAACATATCTATCATATGTTAAAAACTGTCCTCATGCTTGGAGCAGGTAATTTACATAACGTGCCCCTTTCCAATTCCACGTGTGTTAGTAGCCCAGTTTTAATAGATTGTCCTTTCACGTGTGGCATTGTCACTATTTGAAAGTGATTCATGAACACATACAGTACTCATGATATAGTCGGAATCGTACAATCGACTCTGCTTTCAGTTTGGCATATTCAAACCTCCATCTTTGATGTGTTGATCTCAAATCACATTTTCCGGTATATTTCTCCATATAAATATATACATGTATCTGGTGTGTTCGGGATAGACGAAAAACAATATGTTTTAGTTTTGGAATGATATGTGATTTTAATATTCAGTTTCTGTCAAAAGGCGTGAGGATGCGCGCTGACCAGATGGACAAAAGAGTCTCACATTTTCTGAGAGTATCTTTATTATTTAGTTCAATTATGTCAATATCAAGGTTAAATATTATCCCAAGTAATTCAAATGATCCTCCATCAGATCTTCCCTGGTCAGCTGTCCACGAAAACATCAAATAAATTCATAACTTTGAAAGATGAGGAAATTGGTGAGTTTGTTTTTACCCAACCATGAACAATATATTACAGTACTTCCATGTGGTTACAACTTAGGGTGCAAGGAAATCGCGAAGTGATACATGTTCTGACCATTTTGCAATATCGTGAAATCCACGAGCAAGATTGTGATTAGACAATCGACGTTAAGATCATAACCAGGGTAAATCTGGGACTCGAACACACGACAAATGGATTCTAAAAATGTGCCGTGCTGTTTGCAAATCCTTTAAACCGGCAGGTCCCCAATGCTTAATGTCATCAGAGATGAGTACTTGGCAAGCTGCATATCAACCCATATTATACGGTGTGATGTGACTATGGCGACCGCCTCCGTGGTCTAGTGATATATCTAGAGCGTACGCCCGGAGAGCGGAAGGTCGGGAGTTCGATCCGGCAGACCGCGTCATACCAAAAGACGTTTCAAGATGGTACTTGTTGTTAACTTGTCTGGCGCTCGGGATTAAGATGCTGAAACAAGGACTGGTCGGTTCGGAGTCAGTATACTATGTCACCCCTTCTGTTTTTAACCACGCTATGACACACAACAGCTACAGCTTAAAACTAATTACAAACTTACGCCATGTGTGTAGGCATTCAAATCGCATAAATTTATAAAGAATAGAAACCAAGCATATTATACATTGTAAGGAATGCCACAATTGTGTTTTACTTTCAGAATGTACACAGGGATTTTATGGTGAATCCTGCAAGTACACATGTAGTGTTGGCTGCAGAGACCAGAAGAGATGTTCTCCTGTAACAGGGTTCTGTGAAGGTGGCTGTGGGCACGGATGGCTCGGTGACAAATGTACAGAAAGTAAGTTCCTAAGTTATTGTTGAAAGTACTGTAATGACACAACCAATATTGCGTTCATATTTACTGCATTATAAATTATGCAGCTCATTTTGCACGCTCTGCACGCGGAATGTGCTGCACAATGTGTCATCCAGATGTGATCAACATGCAATTAATATCTCAAGTATTTCCCCGGAATATTTGATGTTTGGAGATGAATCTCCGAATTCTTTATTGTTTCAGAGTGCCCTAACGGTACTTTTGGCGATCGCTGCAGCTCTCAGTGCAACAGCAACTGCGACAGCGGTGTATGCGACAATGTAAACGGCGAATGTTCTCAAGGCTGTGTTCCAGGATTCCAAGGATCACAATGCGATCAAGGTCAGAAATCCGGCAGCGGTTTCACTGTCGTCTTCTATCTCGGCTTCTTTCTCAATTCATTTTCGATTAAATGACGTATTTTGAATTAGAACATGCGGTGAAGATGGATAGGATGTGTTGGATCATGTTTAATGATGTTTTGTATGCAAGTGATGGTATGGAGATGTCAAGATGAATGCTGTGTGGAAAGTGGCGTGCTCGGCATTATGTTGTTCAGTAGAATTGGACACTGAAGAAGGTTTAAAGGTCGAAAACGAAAAACGGTGGCGCTTTTTGTCATTTTCTATCTCGACTTCTTATTCGGTAACAATTTTCGATTTTCGAGCCCAAGTAAGCTATTGGGCTGAGGATTGGTAAATAGCATTTGAACATATTTCATGAAACGTAAGATTAGTGCTAGTCCTGTTACTCGCCATGACGGAACAGCTTCTGCAACATCAGTATGTATAGACAATGCTATGTGGTTACCGTTGACCTGCCATGACGTTACAGCTTCAACAACATCAATGTGTATAGACACTGTTATGTGTTTACCGTTAACCCGCTCAGACGTTACAGCTTCTACAACAGCAGTATGTATAGACAATGTTATGTGGTTACCGTTAACCCACACTGACGTTACAGCTTCTACAACAGCAGTATGTATAGACAATGTTATGTGGTTACCGTTAACCCACATTGACGTTACAGCTTCTACAACAGCAGTGTGACACACTGACCAGACTTGAGGAAAGTGCTCAAGTCTGGAACTTAAAATGGCTGATCATTTTGTTAGGACGTAGTATTTGTAGAGTTCCTTTTGTCAGAACGAAAGTTTGTGGATTTATACTTGAATGTGATACATTTGAAAAGAATAAGAATCACCTTTATTGGATCCACATAATATTTTCTGTGACAAAAGTCAAGAAGAATGTGTCGTCTAACAAATTAAATCATTCTTCAATTTTACTTTAACTTTACCTTGTAGCAACCTTTGAAGTTCTTGCCGGTCAGGTGTGTAGCCTATTGATATAATTGCTAATTTATCCCATGTTTACAAGTCTACCGGTCTGGTTGGTAGGATAGGGTGTAGCATATTTTTGTATGGAAACCATCGAAGATTAGCGTCTCTTGAACATGGAAATGGAATTTGGTTATGTAGTTGCCATGTTTGTGTTCGCATATCATTTTCTAGTACATGTTGCCCTTTTCTGCAGTACTGATTAGTACAAGTATATGTAATAATTAAAGATCTATAGTGGCTACCTTTTGATTGTTTAAGAAGATATGTCAAATCGTAAGGTTGTACAGGATTCTCTTGTCTGTTTAGGTTATTCAGTATTATCTGAGGAGCACAATGTTTTGATTCACCCTCTGTGTTCCAAACAATTTGCTTTTCATTCAACTTATTAACCCGTCTATCATATGTTAAAAACTGTCCTCATGCTTGGAGCAGTTCACTTACATAATGTGCCCCTTTCCCATTTCACGTTCGTTAATAGCCCAGTTTTGATAGATTGTCATTTAACGTGTGACATTATCACTATTTGAAAGTGATTCATGAACACATTCTCATGATATAGTCGGAATCGTACAATCGACTCTGCTTTCAGTTTGGCATATTTAACCCTTCATCTATATTTAACCCCTGTGTTGATCTCAAATCACATTTTCCAGTTTATTTCCCCATATCAATATGAAACATTTACGTTAAAATTCTTCTATACGCGTATCTGGTGTGTTCGGGATAGACGAAAACAAGATGTTTAAGTTTTGGAATAATAAGTAATTTAAATATACAGTTTCTGTCTAAAAGCGTGAGGTGGCGCGCTAACCAGATTGACATGAGAGTCTCACATTTTCTGAGAGTATCTTATTATTTAGTTCAATCATGTCATGATCAAGGTTTAACATTATCCCAAGTAATTCAAATGTTTTCTGATCCAAGTTAGGTCTCCATTTCTGACACAGGTTCGTTCGTGAAAATTTTATCGACCCTATCCAAATAAGTATAGCTTTATCAGTATTTACTCCAGAGAAACGGGCAAAAGAACCCGTTAAGTCTTGTAGCACTGGTTATGGGCAGCAATCCTTACCATCTCGTGTTCAAGTGGTATCTTCAGCAAACTGATTTAAGAGGTATTCAATATTACCAACAGTAATTCCCTTTACTTCGGTGTCATTACGTATCATTATAACGAGAATTGCCGGTGAGATTGGGTCCCTTTGATGACAACCCCTGAAAATAACACAAGTCGGAGATCCAAAGACATTTGCAAAGACATCTGATGAAAATCAGTCATCCATATTTTATTGAATCGCCGAAGTGAACGAAAGTGAGCATTTGTTTCTGTACAGGTCCCATCGTTCGTGTCGAAAGCTTTTCCAAAAGGCTAGGAAATCGGTATGAATGAATTGCTAGACATCAAGATTTTTTGGTCTTCATTTATTAAAAAAACATTCCGCAGTAAACCTGTCAGAAGCTGAAGATTTATGTATGCGAGAACTTCAAGTCAATCCTCCCCCAAGGTCAGATGCAGATTGTTTAGGTTACTCGGGAATATCAATATGTTTTAGTACAACTTCTATATTTATGTCCGAAACGTCCTGTTTAGAGTGGGACGGTCTGGTAGCCTAGTGGTTAAAGCGTTCGCTGGTCACACCGAAGACCCGGATTCGATTCCCGACATGGGTACAATGAGTGAAGCCCATTTCTGGTGTCCCCCGCCGTGATATTGCTGGAATATTGCTAAAAGCGGCATAAAACCATACTCACTCACTCACTCCTGTTTAGAGTATAATGCTTTGTACGTTTTGCATAAGTCTTGCTGACATGTCCTATCCCCAAATTGTACATAGATGTTAGAAGTCCAACGTTTCACACACAGTTTATTCAATAACCTTCAGATGACATTTCTTTCATTATTGACACATTTTCCTGAACCTCTGATGGTAGAAATGTAATTATATCTGCGGTCACCCACTGGTGTCCCACTGGTAAACCCTCTGGTGGAAAGGAGCTGTTGACTCTTTTACGTGAAATACTCAATATTTTTAGCTGGCTGTTGGTACTTTTCAGGACTATTACCGGGTATCATGTGCTAGCTCACTGAGATACCAAGCCGCAGTTTAACATGGGTACTCCACTCAGACACGGTTTACTGACTCCGAGCCGACCAGTCCTGTGTCGTGCCGTTTATGCCCAGCGCTATCTTTTAACGTCTTTTGGTATGACGCCGCCAGTGTTCTCTGGAAGGAAACATCTGTAGTGACCAAGCTCTAATTACAGTAACATGCACACACATGAAATTACTGACTTGAACTAACATTTGTACTGATACTTATATTGATATGTGCGACCGCCTCCGTGGTCTAGTGGCATATCTTGAGCGTCGCCCTGAGAGCGGAAGGTCGGGAGTTCGATCCGGCCGGCCGCGTCATGCCAAAAGACGTTTAAAGATGGTACTTGTTGTTTACTTGTCTGGCGCTCGGCATTAAGAGGCTGAAACAAGGACTGGTACGTTCGGAGTCAGTATACTGTGTCACCCCTTCTGTTTTTAACCACGCGATGACACACGGCAGCTACAACATTAAACTAATAACAAATTAACGCCATGTGTGTAGGCATTCAAATCTCATAAATTTATCAAGAATAGAAACGAAACATATTATCCATGGTAAGAAATGTCACAATTGTGTTTTACTTTCAGAATGTACGCATGGATTTTATGGTGAATCCTGCAAGTACACATGTAGTGTTGGCTGCAGAGACCAGAAGAGATGTTCTCCTGTAACAGGGTTCTGTGAAGGTGGCTGTGGACACGGATGGCTCGGTGACAAATGTACGGAGAGTAAGTCCTTAAGTAATCTTTGAGAGTACTGTAGTGACACAACCAATAGTATTGCAATACTGCATTCATGTTCAATGCACAATGCAGCTCATTGTGCACGCTCTGCACGCATAATGTGCTGCACAATGTGTCATCCAGATATGATTAACATGCATTTGCAATACATATTGAGACATTTCGATCAAATAACACAAATATAAGAAATACCTGTAGGTTGGAATGATTGGATACATGTATATGCATTGAATGGAGAAGATTATGATGGCAATTGATATTTCAAGGTTTTGTGCCGGAAGGTTTGATGTTTAGAGATGAATCTCCGTATTATTTATTGTTTCAGAGTGTCCTAACGGTACTTTTGGCGATCGCTGCAGTTCTCAATGCAACATCAACTGCGACAGTGGTGTATGCAGCAATGTAAACGGCGAATGTTCTCAAGGCTGTGTTCCAGGATTCCAAGGATCACAATGCGATCAAGGTCAGATATTGATGTTTATGCAATGCATTTTATGAAGTAATGCTTTACGTACTAGTGTGTATGAATGTCTCATATTCTATACGGGAGAGAGGGGTGATGGCAATACAAAAGCGTTGACAATAAAACGATGTGTACCAGTATTTTGTCATACATTATATGTGATCTTGATGAAATTGTTTTTCCGAAGGATTAAAGTTCGAAACTTAAAAAAAAGCTATACAGTTTTACAATGTCTGTTCACTTAGGACGCTACAAATTCATTGTCTTTGACGTGTTGATAGACGTGCAAGGCCGCTTAAATAAAAACATTGAGAATATGTTTTCTCTGGAACACCTCTGCATCGCAATCGGGAAAATGAAAATGTATCGACATACATAAACTTTTCACTTTTAAACACATGGACACGAGTATAAAAACGCATATAACATATTGTGTACATGGATGATTAAACTTGATTAGCGTATATGTAGCTACTCTATAATGGTCTATCGTTACAAATACTATGTACATGTCTTCAGCCTGCACGAATGAAACGTACGGCCTGGGATGTAGGGAAAACTGCAGTGAAGGATGTCTGGATGGCGGATGCAGCGGGACGGACGGGACATGTCAGTGTCGTGACGGTTGGAGGGGAGACAGGTGTCATTTAGGTGAGTGGGATAGTAAAATACGCATGTGTTTGTTACTGTAATTAGTTTTAAAATATGAATGTTACGTTACAACTAATAGCCTTCACTCATGTTATGCCATTGATTTGGTCATTGTGGCATAGTGCTGATCTCTTGCCAGTCTTGCGTTCCCCTTGATCTGCTTTGCATTATTGCTCATCATCGTTGAAGCCTCTATGACCTTACACTGAAACACACAGATCGTTTCCTATAACCGGTTTTGATATAGTTTCATTAACTCCTTAGAGAAATATAATGAACATTTTGTCTCATGTTCTGTGATTATTAAACTGTGTTTCTAAACATTTTTCGAAACAATCAAATTTCTATATAAGTAAACATTTCTGGAAATCAAAGAAACTAGCACATCTCTATTTCCAAAGGTTCTGTGCGATTTGTCAAAAAGGAAAGCAACTGTCAACTGAAGTTTACTGAGAATATGTGAAATGTTGGATATTCTCAGAGATACCGTTTGTTGCTCGATAGATTCCATTCTCCTCCTTGTTGATGTGTGTCTTTAGGCTAATGAATCAAAATTTCTCTTCGTATTGGCACAATCAAAACACGTTAATTTGACCAAGAAGTTTATGTCGGGGATATCGTTGATCTAAGATATACACAAAGACAATAAGCTAAACATACTCCTATTTCTGAACCATAACAAATGGCAAAAATCATGGTATGGGATGACTGACCACAGGAGCTGAGCGATACCAATGTCATCGGACAGAACAAACATTTGACAACAAATAAAGAAGATATTGGTGAGATGTGATTGAAATTCACTAACAGAAACCACAGGGTAACACAGGTACTGTTCTTGATTTTAGACAATACCTAAAGAATACATGGAGCTGCAGGAGTAGCTGCAAAGTAAATGAGTTACGTTTGATGTTTCATATGAAAATGTTCCTTAAAGTCTCTACTTGACATGACACGTGAAACATATCAGTAGCGGGTATAACCGCGACGTGCCCGGGTGACGCATTGCACCCTGCGTGTCATACCTCAAGTCAGACGTTGGGTCTGTTGATGGATCAGCCACACCCACTCCTGAAGCAATGTTGCCTCCAAGTGGCGTAAATCCTGTACAGAAGGAACTCGTGCCTGTTTGCGTCGCCCCAAAATATCCCAAACATATTCAAGGGGGGTCAAATCTAGGCTCATTGCTGGCCAGGGTAGAGTTGTTATTGGATTGGCCCTCATGTAATCCACGACTGCATGCGAACGATGAGGCCTGGCATTGCCATCCATGTTCAGAGGTAGAGTAGCAAGAGGATGGTTGTCAAAATGAGGAACGACGACTGGCCTCCAAAACGTCCCGGATGTACTAAGCCCCTGTTAAGTTGCCCCCTATGGTGACCAAATCCAATCTGCAATCATGAGAGATACACCCCTAAACCATTACCGAGCACCCGCCATATGCAACAGTCGGTTTAATGTTTCTTGGGATGTAGGCCGTGTCCCGGTGCCTCCAAACTCTCGTTCTTCCATCAGTGACATGGACCAAAGCGACTTTCGTCTGACCAATGGATCCATCTCCAAGTTCTCAGATTCCAGTTCCAGCAATACACCATGCTAAACGAGCACTTTGTGTTGATCTCCCAACAAGGGACGCTTTGTGACTCGTCTAGCCCACAGTTCTGCTGCTTTCAGCCGGTTCCAGGCGGTTCTGGTGCTGAAACGACGATTGAGCAACCATAGCTGTTTCAGACGAGTACTTGTTAAAAAGGGTTCTCGGCGTATGAGATGAAGAAGGTCCCTGTCTTCGCGATGTTTCATCACAGGAGGTCTTCCGGATCTGGGACGGTCCTGTACATCACCGATCTGAGCACGTTCCTCGACAAAACGACACTGTGATGATACCCAAAATTCCGACCAATGGCATTACAAGACATTCCTGCGTTATGCATGCCAAGGTCACAAAATGTCATGAATAACTGTTTAAAACCGAGCTTAAGGAAGCAATTTTAACGTTTGGCTATACTGCTTTTAGAGGTACTCCAAGGGTAGCATGCTGCACAAGCATACCATGCATGGCTTGTGAGCTTTCGTCACGCATGACTGATTACACCATCTCAAGAAAACATAATTCTTCCCATAATTATATCTTTCATGACTGTTACAAATATTAGGGTGTGTTAATATTTGTCTTTGTGTACAATTCAATTCTGACCAAATAGCCAATTCCATGCTATTGATTTGCCCACCTGAACTAGAAATAGAAGACACCAGTGACACTGCCTCATCTGATCTATGCGTAAACAGTCAGAGTGACAAGGAAACTATCCACAAGACTGTATGACAAGAGGGATGGAAAACAATATTCCAGCAGATGCAGTCTTAATTTTTGCTGCGTAAATGTCACAACTTTTGACGTACCATTGAGCATGAGCTCTCCACGAAGATTTCAAAGAGCTCATACGCCCCTTGTTTAAAGGTTATATAATTTTAGAGTTAAAGCATCCAGGGCATTATAATGCTTAAAAAGCATCATGATGGACATGACAGTATGTGTAGCTCGCATATCGTTGTATTTATATCTGATTAATAATAGTCTATCATAATTCCATAAGGAATTGCTTAAGTATCACAACATTGAATGTTATATGTTTTGTTAATTCAAATGTATGCAAAGGTGAGATGAAAAAGAATATCTGTCTGTTTGTCTGTAATTATATCAGTGTCTGATACACTTAGCCTAAATACAGTGTACCTCAATGTCTCCAGACTGTGAGCCAGGATTCTATGGCCCCGGCTGTGCAGTGTCCTGCAGTCCGAACTGTGCAGGTACAAGGTGCGGAAGGTCGACCGGGCTGTGCTCCAGCTGCCAGTCAGGGTGGACGGGAGAAACATGTCAGCAAGGTAATCAATACCGCGGGTAGCTGTTGTCACCGTTTCAATGTTTATTATCAGATTTACAGGGCATTTTTACATTTTAGATTCAATAAATTTTGATCATTTTTTAAAAATATATATGATATGGACTCTTCGCTTTCTCAACAATAAACATCAAAATTTGTATATTTTATTTGAAGAAAAAGGAATAACTGAATAAGGAATCCAGATCCAAACGAAATCCGGCAGCGGTTTCACTGTAGTCCTTCATCTCGGCTTCTTTCTCAATTCAGTTTCCGTATACGTATTTGGAATTAGAACATGCGGTGAAGATGGATAGAATGTGTTGGAACATATTTAATGATGTTTTATATGCAAATGATGGTATGGAGATGTAAAGATGAATGCTGTGTGGAAAGTGGGGTGCTCGGCATTGTGTTGTTCAGTTGAATATCGAAAACGAAACACGGTAGCGCTTCTTGTCATTTTCTAGCTCGACCTCTTATTCAATAACAATTTTCGATTACATTTGAATGCAAGCTATTTGGCTGATGATTGGTAAATAGCATTTGAACACATTTTGTGAAATGTAATATGAGTGTTGCGCCTTGACGTTACAGCTTCTACAACAGGAGTATTGATAGACAATGTTATATATGCCGTTAACCCGCCATAATGTTACAGCTTCTACAACAGCAGTATGTATAGACGGTGTAATGTGTTTGCCGTTAACCCGCCCTGACGTGACATCTTCTACAATAGCAGTGTGTATACACAATGTTGTGTGTTTACCGTTAACCCGCCATAACGGTACAGCTTCCACAACAGCAGTATGTATAGACAGAGTTATGTTGTTACTGTTCACCGTTAAAATTACCTTTATTGGTTCCACATAACATTTTCTGTGACAAAAATTAAGAAAAATGTGTTGCTGACAAATTAAATCGTACTTTAACTAAAACCTTGGAGCTAACTTTGAAGTTCTTGCCAGATAGGTGTGTAGTCTTTTCTTTAGCATCAATATTATTACCAGTGTATCCCATGTTAACAAATTTACCGTTGGTTGGTAGAAGAGGGTGTAGGATATTTTTGTATTGAAACCATTGAAGATTTGCTTCTCTTGAACATGAAAATGGAATATATGGTTATGTAGTTGTCATGTTTGTATTTGCATATCATTTTCTAGCATAATTAAGTTGCCATTTGCTGCAGTACTGATAAGAACAAGTATATTTAATAATTAAAGATCTATAGTGGCCACCTTTTGATTGTTAATGAAGATATGTCAAACTGTAATGTTTTGATTGAGCTTGATTGATTCTCCCCCTGTGTTCTAAATAATTGCTTTTTCATTCCACTTACTTACACATCTCTTATATGATAATAACTGTCCTCATGCCTGGAGCAGGCCATTCACTTGACGTGCCCCTTTCTCTTTTTATTTTGGGTAGTAGCCCAGTTTTGATAGATTGTCCTTGCGTTGTGTGAGTGAGTGAATTTGGTTTAACGCCGCTTTTAACAGTATTCAAGTTATATCACGGCATGTCGACCTTATGTGGGAGTAAAGCCCGAAGTGATGCAGTGCTCATACGTTTACCACTTCGGTGAAACCCTAGAGCACAGGGTCCTTGCACATGTGGCATTATCAATATTTGAAAGTGATTCATGAATACATACTCATGATATAGTCGGAATCGTACAATCGACTCTGCTTCGAGTTTGGCATATTTAAACCACATCTTTTATCTTTGATGTGTTGATCTCCGGTTTTTTTCTCCATATAAATCTGAAAAATTTACTTTGAAATTCTTCTATACACATGTACGTGTATCTGCTGTGTTCGGGATAGACGAAAACAAGATGTTTTAGTTTTGGAATAATAAATGAGTTTAATATACAGTTTCTGTCTAAAAGCATGAGGTTGCGTGCTAACCAGGACTTAAGAGTCTCACATTTTCTGAGAGTATCATTATTTTTTAGTTCAATTATGTCAAGATCTAGGTTAAATATCATCCCAAGTGATTCAAATGTTTTCTCATCCAAGTTAAGTCTCCATTTCTGACACAGGTTCGTTCTTGAATATGTTGTCGAGCCTATCCAAATAATTATAGCTTTATCAGTATTTTCTTTCGATCTCGAGAAACGGGTAAAAAGATGTTGCAGCGCTGTTTGTAGGCAGCGTTCCTGACCATCTAGTGTATAAATAGTATCAGTAGCAAATTGACTTATAATTAAGAGGTAATCAATATTACAAACAGTAATGACCTTTACTTCGGCATCATTATGATCATTATAACTAGAATTTCCTATGTGTGGGTCCCTTTGACGGCAACCCCTGAAAATAACACAAGCCTTAGATTTGTCATTTGCAAGGACACCGCCACTGTGGTCCAGTGGTATATCTCCAGCATCAACCCGGAGATAGGGAGGTAGGGAGTTTTACCCCGGCCGCGTCACACCAAAATACGTTTAAAGATGGTACTTGTTAACGCTTGGCATTAAGAGGCTGAAACAAGGACTGGTCGGTTCGGAGTCAGTTTACTGTGTCACCCCTTCTGTTTTTAACCACGCGATGACACACAGCAGCTACAGCATCAAACTAATAACAAGCCAACGTCATGTGTTTGGCATTTTAATCTCATAAATGAAACGAAACATATTATCCATGGTAAGGAATGTCACAATTGTGTTTTACTTTCAGAATGTACACAGGGATTATATGGTGAATCCTGCAAGTACACATGTAGTGTTGGCTGCAGAGACCAGAAGAGATGTTCTCCTGTAACAGGGTTCTGTGAAGGTGGCTGTGGGCACGGATGGCTCGGTGACAAATGTACAGAAAGTAAGTCCTTAAGTAATCGTTGAGAGTACTGTAGTGACTGAACCAATGCTGCATTCATATTCCATGCATTATGCAGCTCATGATGCATGCTCTGCACGCGGAATGTGCTGTACAATGTGTCATCCAGATGTGATTAACATGCATTTGCAAAACAAATTTAGACATTTCGAACAAATAACACAAATATAAGAAATACCTGTAGGATGGAATGATTGGATACATGTGTATGCATTGAATGGAGATGTTCATGCTGGAAATGGATTTTTCAAGTATTTCCCCGGAAAGTTTGATGATTAGAGATAAATCTCCGTATTCTTTATTGTTTCAGAGTGTCCTAACGGAACTTTTGGCGATCGCTGTAGCTCTCAATGCAACATCAACTGCGACAGTGGTGTATGCAACAATGTAAACGGCGAGTGTTCTCAAGGCTGTGTTCCAGGATTCCAAGGATCACAATGCGATCAAGGTCAGATACTGATGTTGATGCATTGCATCATATGAAGTAAGACTTTACGTACTAGTGTGTATGAATGTGTTATAATCTATAGGGGAGAGAGTGTGATGGCAGTACAATAGCGTTTATAATGAAACGATGTGTACCAGTATTTTGTCATAAATTATATGTGATCTTGATGAAATTGTTTTTCCGAAAGATTAAAGTTTTAAACTTAATAACAGTTACTTTACAGTTTTTCAGTGTCTTTTCACGTTCATCTTTGACGTGTCGATAGACGTGCAAGGCCGCATAAAAAAAACTTTGAGAATATATTTTCTCTGGAACACCTCTGCATCGCAATCGGGAAAATGAAAATGTGTCGACATACATAAACCTTTCACTCGCTAAACACATGGACACGAGTATTAATACGCATTATATTGTGTACATGCATTATTAAACTTGATTATCGTACATGTGGCTACTCAGTACAATGCTATAATGGTCTATTGTTACAAATTATATGTACATGTCTTCAGCCTGCACGAATGAAACGTACGGCCTGGGATGTAGGGAAAACTGCAGTGAAGGATGTCTGGATGGCGAATGCGGCGGGACGAACGGGACATGTCAGTGTCGTGACGGCTGGAGGGGAGACACGTGCCATTTAGGTGGGTGGGATTGGAAAATACGCACGTGCTTGTTATTGTAATTTGTTATAAGATATAAATGTTACGTAACAACCAATAGCCTTAACTCGTCATGTCAGCGTTTTGGTCATTGTAGCATAGTGCTGATCTTTTGTCAGTCTCTCGTTTCTCTCGACCTGCTTGGACTATTGCACATCAACGCTGAAGTCCCCATGCTCCTACACCGAAACACAAATTTCGATTCCTATAACGGGTTTTGATATAGTTTCTTTTGCTATATACCCATTAAGATTCGGGTTAGAATAGGTCTTCAGCAACCCATGCTTGTCGTGAGAGGCAACTGACGGGATCGGGTTGTCAGGCTCACTGTCTTGGTTGATGCATGACATCGACTCCTATTGCGTGGATCGATGCTCATGATGTCAATCACTGGGTTGTCTGGTCCAGACTCAATTATTGAAAGTCTGCCGCCATATAGCTGGAATATTGCTGAGTGCAACAAACAAACATTAACTATATAGAGAAATATAATTAATGAACATTTTGTCTCATGTTCTGTGATTATTAAAATATGTTTCTAAACATTTTTCTAAACAATCACATGCAACAATTCTGGAAATCAGAGAAACGGGTACATCTCTATTTCTAAAAGTTCGGTGCAATTTGTCAAAAATGAAAACAACTGTTAACTGAAGTTAACTGAGAATATGAGAAATGTTGGATATTCTCAGGGATACCATTTGTTGCCCTATAGATTCCATACTCCTTCTTGTTGATGTGTTTCGTTTGGCTTATGAATCAATATTTTGCTCGCATTGGCACAATGAAAACACGTGAATTTGACCAAGAAGTTTATGTCGTGGCTATCGTTGATCTGAGATAATTCCATTCTTCCCAAATAGCCAATTCCCTACCATTAATGTACCCACCTGAACTAGAAATAGAAGACACCAGTGACACCGCTTCATCTGATCTATGCATAAACATTCCGAGTGACAAAGAAACTATCCACAAGACTAAATGACATGAGGGATGGAAAACAATATTCCAGCAGATGCAGTCTTAACGTTTGCTGCGTAAATGTCACAGCTTTTGACGTACCATTGAGCACGCATACGCCCTCGTTTAAAGGTTATCTAATTTTAGAGTTAAAGCATCCAGGGCCTTATGAAGGTTAAAAAATCTTTATGATTGACATGACAGTATGTGCAGCTCTCATATCATTGTATTTATATCTGATTAATAACAGTCTATCATATTTTCCATGAGGAATTGCTTGTGTACAATAGTATATATTCTATGTCCTGACAATTCAATTGTATGCAAAAGGTGAGACTCACAAAGAATATCTGTCTGTTTGTCTGTAATTATATCAGTGCACTTAGCCTAATACAATGTGCCTCAATGTCTCCAGACTGTGAGCCAGGATTCTATGGCCCCGGCTGTGCAGTGTCTTGCAGTCCGAACTGTGCAGATACAAGGTGCGGAAGGTCGACCGGGTTGTGCTCCAGCTGCCAGTCAGGGTGGACGGGAGAAACATGTCAGCAAGGTAATCAATACCGCGGGTAGCTGAGGTCACCCTTCCAATGTTTATTATCAGATTAACAGGTCATTTTTACATTTTGGATTCAATAAACTTTGATAATTTTTTTATGTATATATATGACATGGACTCTTCTCTTTCTCAACAATAAACATCAAAATTTGTATATTTTATTCGAAGAAAAAGGAAACACTGAATAAGGAATCCAGATTACTTTCAATCCCGCGAGACGGCCAACTGTTTGTGGGCAGCGTTCCTTACCATCTAGTGTATAAGTAGTATCGTTAACAAACCGATTTAAGAGGTATTTCACATAACCAACAATGATTCCCCTTTATTTCAGCATCATTACGTATCATTATAACGAGAATTGCCAGTGAGATGGGGTCGATTTGAGAACAACTCCTGAAAATAACACAAGCAGGAGATCCAAAGCCATTTGCATGGACACTTGATTTAATACCTTTACAACATACATCATCCATATTTTATTTAATCGCCAAAGTGAACGAAAGTGAGCGTTTGTTTCAATACAGGTCCCATCGATCGTGTCAAAAGCTTTTCCAAAAGGCTAGGAATTGGTATGAATGTATTCTGAACCGCAAAAGAAACGTCACCCCAAGTAACATTCCATGAAAAGTTGTCATTGAAATATCTGGGTAGTTTTTGTCAAAGTTTCTAAAAATTAACATTACCTTGTCCGGAAAAATGTAATTTGATGATACAAAACAAAGCAGATGACAAATAAACCAATTCCCCAAACGCATCACGTCAACGACCATTGTAACCCAATGCACGTGAGTTCCGTGCAAATTGAAAAAGCACATGTGTTCCCCCATTTCTTGCCCTATGAAAACCAACCCAGATCGGATAATATTCACTCGTTTTTTAATTGCTTCCACATGTCAATATTGACAAGAAATCAGCAACACAAAGCCCTTGGACGATTGCAAGCTGGACAAACCTACCAGCAAGTAGCCAATGCATTTCAAGACCACGTAAGGACCAAATACAGCCTCAAGCAACGGTACCAGACCATCAGCACTACAGATGACCGACCACGTAGTGGAAGGGAAAGGGTCACCACCCGACGTCAGGATGGTCAGATTTGTGGTACAGCATCTTCAAGAACGCTTTGTTACTGCTGCGGAAACTGTTCGACAGACCATGGGGACACACCAGCGACACATAAGTGCGGACACCGTGCGTCGACGATTGACGATCAGACACCTCCACTGTCACAGGCAACACTGAGGACCCATTCTGACACCACGTCATCGCCGGGACCGTCTTCAGTGGGCAACATGGCACCAGCATTGGCGCCACCAGCAGTGGAGAATACTCTTCTTTTCAGACGAGAGCCAATCTCAACAGCAGATGGCAGAGAGAGAGAGAGTTTGGCGACGCCTTGGGAAACGTTATTCTGATGAGTTGGTGAGAGAGACTCGTTGGGTGGTCTGAGCATCATGGTGTGGGGCGGAATTGGTCTTGCACAGAGTGTCCGCCCTGTTGTCTTCCAGAACATCTGTCCAGGGAGAGGCAATGTTGTCACAGCAGCTCGTTACATTGATCAAGTCTTGAGACCACACGCCATACCTCTTTTGGCACGTCGCCGCAACCAAGAGTTTCATCATGATAACGACCGTGCCCAAACTGCTAGTGCAACAGGAGACTTCCTCCAGCAGAATGGCATCAGAACCATGCAGTGGCCTGTCCTCAGTCCTGATTTAAATCCCATTGAGCACCTGTGGGACGAGATTCAAAGACGACTGAATGACGTCCGACAAAGGCCGACGCCTGCAGCTGAACTGCGACAGGCGTTCCTCAGAGTGTGGGGTTCAAGCGCCTATGGACTTCATCAACCGCCTCCTCCGTTCCATGTATCGATATTGCAGTCATCAACGAACATGGCGGACACACGAGATACAAACTTGTGATGCCACTTTCTCAGAGACTAATGTTGTGTTTCACCTTAAGAATATTTGACACTTTTTTTTCATACTTGATGATCAGTTTTGCCAGGTTTCATCTTTTTAATATGTTTCCAAGTATGTTTACAGTGTTTGAACAAATAAGGTTTCTCATATATCTATCCATGGTGACGTTTCCTTTGCGGTTCAGTATATTTATAATATGTTTTAGTACAATTTCTAGATTAAAGTCCGAAACGTAATGTTTAGAGTATAATGTTGTGTACGCTTTGTCTAAGTCTGGCTGAAATATCCTGTCCCCAAATTGTATATGGATAATAGAAATCCAACATTTCACATACAGTATATTCAGTAAACGTCAGATGGCATTTCATTCATTATTGACAAGTTTTCCTGAACCTTTGATGGTCGAAATGTAATTATATCTGTGGTTACCCACTGGTAAACCTGCTGGTGTTGTAGGTGGAAAGGAAAACGAACTGTTGACTCTTTTACGTGAAATACTCAATATTATTAGCTAGCTGTTTGTACTTGTAAGGACTAATACCGGGTATAAATTGCTAGCCCACTGTGATACCATGCCGCAGTTTAGATAATACTTATATTGTAACTGCTTGTACTGATTGCGTTTGCTGAGCCATATACACATTTGTACATTTATATCCTCCATAAGATCTTCCCCAGTCAACTGGTTTCAACTTAAGGTGCAAAGAAATCGCGAAGTGATACAGGTGCTGACCATATTGCAATATCGTGAAATCCACGAGCAGGATTTTGGTTCCACGTTAAGATCATAACCAGGGTGAATCTGGGGTTCGAACACAAATGGATTCTAAAAATGTGCAGTGCTGTTTGCAGATCCTATAAGCCGGCAGGTCTCCAATGCTTAATGTCATCAGAGATGAATACTTGGAAAGCTACATATCAACCCATAGTATACGGTGTGATGTGACTATGGCATATGTGCGACCGCCTCCGTGGTCGAGTGATTTATCTAGAGCGTTCGCCCGGAGAGCGGAAGGTAGGTAGTTCTATCCCGGCCGTGTCAGACCAAAAGACGTTTCAAGATGGTACTTGTTGTTAACTTGTCTGGCGCTTGGCATTAAGAGGCTGAAACAAGGACTGGTCTGCTCGGAGTCAGTATACTGTGTCACCCCTTCTGTTTTTAACCACGCGAAGACACAGGGCAGCTACAGCATCAAACTAATAACAAGCCAACGCCATGTGTGTAGGCATTCAAATCTCATAAATTTATCTCGAATAGAAATCAAGCATATTATCCATGGTAAGTAATGCCACAATTGTGCTTTACTTTCAGAATGTACACAGGGATTGTATGGTGAATCCTGCAATTACACATGTAGTGTTGGCTGCAGAGACCAGAAGAGATGTTCTCCTGTAACAGGGTTCTGTGAAGGTGGCTGTGGGCACGGATGGCTCGGTGACAAATGTACAGAAAGTAAGTCCTTAAGTAATCGTTGAGAGTACTGTAGTGACACAATTTATATTGCATTCATATTCAATGCATTATGCAGCTCGTGGTACACGTGTATGCATTAAATGGAGAGGTTCATGCTGGAAATTGATATTTCAAGTATTTCCCCGGAAAGTTTGATGTTTACAGATGAATCTCCGTATTCTTTATTGTTTCAGAGTGTCCTAACGGTACTTTTGGCGATCGCTGCAGCTCTCAATGCAACAGCAACTGCGACAGTGGTGTATGCAGCAATGAAAACGGCGAGTGTTCTCAAGGCTGTGTTCCAGGATTCCAAGGATCACAATGCGATCAAGGTCAGATACTGACGTTGCTGAAATGCATTTTATGAAGTATTACTTGATGTAATGTATGTATGAATGTGTTATATTCCACAAGGGAGAGAGGGGTGATGGCAGTTCAATAGAGTTAACAATACAACGATGTGTACCAGTATTTTGTCATAAATTAAATGTGATCTTGATGAAATTGTTTTTCCGAAAGATTAACGTTTTAAACTTAATAACTTTACAGTTGTTCAGTGTCTCTTCACTTTCGTCTTTGACGTGTCGATAGACGTGCAAGGTCGCTTAGATAACAACACTGAGAATATATTATCTCTGGAACACCTCTGGATCGCAGTCGGGAAAATATATCGACATACATAAACGTTTCACTTTCTAAACACATGGACACGAGTATAAATATGCATTATATTGTGTACAGGCATGATTAAACTTGATTAGCGAACATGTACCTACTCAACACAACGCTATAATGGACTATAGTTACAAATACTATGTGCATGTCTTCAGCCTGCACGAATGAAACGTACGGCCTGGGATGTAGGGAAAACTGCAGTGAAGGATGTCTGGATGGCGAATGCGACGGGACGGACGGGACATGTCAGTGTCGTGACGGCTGGAGGGGAGACAGGTGCCATTTAGGTGAGTGGGATTGTACGCGCGTTTGTTATTGCAATTGGTTCTAAAATATGAATGTTACGTTACAACCAATAGCCTAAACTCATGTCATGTCAGCGTTTTGGTCTTTGTGGCATAGTGCTAATCTTTGGTTAGTCTCTCGTTTCTCTCGATCTGCTTTGGATTATTGCACAGCATCGCTGAAGTCCACATGCCCTTACACCGAAACACACATTTCGTTTCCTTTATCGGGTTTTGATATAGTTTCATTAATATATCCGGGTTAGAATAGGTCTTCAGCAACCCATGCTTGGGGATGTGGTGGTCAGACTCGCTTACGTGGTTGATGCATGACATTGATCCCAATTGCGTTGCTTGATGCTCACGATGTCAATCCCTGGATTGTCTGGGCCAAACTCATTATTGACAGACCGCCGCCATATGGCTGGAATATTGCTGAATTTGGCGTTAAGCAACAAACAAACATTAACTATAGTGAGATATATAATGAACATTTTGTCTCATGTTCTGTGATTATTAAACAATATATTGCTAAACATTTTTCTAAACCATCACATTTCTATAAAAGTTAACATTTCCGGAAATCAGAGAAACGGGTACATCTCTATTTCTAAAGGTTCTGTGCAATTTGTCAAAAATAAAGCAACTTTTAACTGAAGTTTACAGAGAATATGTGAAATGTTGGATATTCTCAGGGATGCCATTTGTTGCTCTATAGATTCCATACTCCTCCTTGTTGATGTGTTTCTTTTGGCTTATAAATCTAAATTTCTGCTCGCATTGGCACTATCAAGACACGTGAATTTGATCAAGAAGTTTATGTCGCTGATATTGTGGATCAGAGATAATTCCATTCTGCCAAAATAGCCAATTCCATACTATTGATTTACCCTCTTGAACAAGAAATAGAAGACACCAGTGACACCAGCTTATCTGATCTATGCATCAGCATTCCGAGTGACAAAGAAACTATCCACAAAACTGTATTTCCAGAGGGATGGTAAACAATATTCCAGCAGCTGCAGTCATAACGAGTGCTGTGTAATTGTCACAACTTTTGACGTGCAATTGAGCTTGAACATTCATCGAAGATATCAAAGAGTTCATACGCCCATTGCTTAAAGGTCCTCTTATTTTAGAGTTAAAGCATCCAGGGCCTTATGAAGCTTTATAAAGCGTTATGGTGGACATGGCAGTATGTGCAGCTCGTATATCGTTGTATTTATATCTGATTAATAACAGTCTATCAAAAATTCATAAGGAATTGCTTATGTACAATAGTATATGTTATATGTCCTGTTAATTCAATTGTATGCAAAAGGTGAGACTCTCAAAGAATATCCGTCTGTTTGTCTGCAATTATATCAGTCTGATACACTTAGCCTAACACAATGTGTCTCAATGTCTCCAGACTGTGAGCCAGGATTCTATGGCCCCGGCTGTGCAGTGTCCTGCAGTCCGAACTGTGCAGGTACAAGGTGCGGAAGGTCGACCGGGTTGTGCTCCAGCTGCCAGTCAGGGTGGACGGGAGAAACATGTCAGCAAGGTAATCAATACCGCGGGTAGCTGAGGTCACCCTTCCAATGTTTATTATCAGATTAACAGGTCATTTTTACATTTTGGATTCAATAAATTTTGATCATTTGTTTCATGTATATATATGATATGGACTCTTCTCTTTCTCAACAATAAACATCCAAATTTGTATATTTCATTCGAAGAAAAAGGAAACATTGAATAAGAATCCAGATCAGAAACGAAATTCGGCAGCGGTTTCATTGTAGACTTCTATCTCGGCTTCTTTCTCAATTCAGTTTTCGGTTCAGTTTCAGTTTCTAATTTGGAATTAGAACATGCGGTTAAGATGGATAGAATGTGTTAGATCATATTTAATGATGTTTTATATGCAAGTGATGGTATAATAATATAAAGATGAATGCTATGTGGAAAGTGGAGGGCTCGGCATGATATTGTTCAGTAGAACAAGATGATTTTAATATGCAGTTTCTGTCTAAAGGCACGAGGTTGTGCGCTTACTAGATGGACATAAGAATCTCACATTTTCGGAGAGTACCTATATTATTTAGTTTAATCATGTCAAGATCAAAGTTAGATATTATCCCAAGGAATTCAAATGTTTTCAGGTCCAAGTTAAGTCTCCATTTCTGACACAGGTTCGTTTCTGAATATGTTATCGAGCCTAGCCAAATGATTACAGCTTTATCAATATTTACTTTCAATCTCGCGAGACTGCCAATTGTATGTGGGCAGCGTTCCTTACCATTTAGTGTATTAGTAGTATAGTTAACAAACCGATTTAAGAGGTATTCCATATTACCAACAGTGATTCCGCTTTATTTCAGCATCATTACGTATCATTATAACGAGAACTGCCAGTGAGATAGGGTCGATTTGACGACAACTCCTGAAAATAACACAAGCAGGAGATCCAAAGCCATTTGCAAGGACATTTACTTAAATACCTTCACAACATACAGTCATCAATATTTAATTGAATCGCCATAGTGAACGAAAGTGAGCGTTTGTTTCAATACAGGTCCCATCGAACGTGTCTAAAGCTTTTCCAAAAGGCTAGCAATTTGTATGAATGTATACTGAACCGCAAAAGAAACGTCACCCCAAGTAACATTCCATGAAAAGTTGTCATTGAAATATCTGGGTAGTTTTTGTCAAAGTTTCTAAAAGTTAACATTACCTTGTCCGGAAAAATGAAATTTGATGATACAAACAAAGCAGATGACAAATAAACCAATCCCCCAAACGCATCACGTCAACGACCATTGTAACCCAATGCACGTGAGTTCCGTGCAAATTGAAAAGCACATGTGTTCCCCCATTTCTTGCCCTATGAAAACCAACCCAGATCGGATAATATTCATTCGTTATCGAATTGCTACCACATGCCAATATTGACAAGAAATCAGCAACACCAGGTCCTTGGACGATTGCAAGCTGGACAAACCTACCAGCAAGTAGCCAATGCATTTCAATTCCACGTAAGGGCCATATACAGGCTCCACCAACGGTACCAGACCATCAGCACTACAGATGACCGACCACGTAGTGGAAAGGCAAGGGTCACCACCCGACGTCAGGATGGTCAGATTTGTGCTACAGCATCTTCAAGATCGCTTTGTTACTGCTGCGGAAACTGTTCGACAGACCATGGGGACACACCAGCGACACATAAGTGCGGACACCGTGCGTCGACGATTGACGATCAGACACCTCCACTGTCACAGGCAACACTGAGGACCCATTCTGACACCATGACACCGTCTTCAGTTGGCTACACAGCACCAGTATTGGCACAACCAACAGTGGAGAAGAGTCATCTTTTCAGACGAGAGCTGTTCCTGTATCTCAACAGCAGATGGCAGAGAGAGAGAGAGAGAGTCTGGTGACGCCTTGGGAAACGGTATTTGGATGCTTGTGTTGTTGAGAGAGACTCGTGGGGTGGCCCGAGCATCATGGTGTGGGGTGGAATTGGTCTTGCACAGAGGGTTCTCCCTGTGGTCTTCAAGAACATCTGTCCAGGGAGAGGCAATGTTGTCACAGCAGCTCGGTACATTGATCAAGTCTTGAGACCACACGCCATACCTCTTTTGGCACGTCGCCGCAACCAAGAGTTTCATCATGATAACGACCGTGCCCACACTGCTGGGGCAACAAGAGATTTCCCCCAGCTGAATGGCATTAGAACCATGTTGTGGACTCCCCTCAGTCCTGATTTAAATCCCATTGAGCACCTGTGGGACGAGATTCAAAGACGGCTGAATGACGTCCGACCAAGGCTGACAACTGCAGCTGAACTACTTCAGGCGTTCCTCAAGTGTTGGCTCAAGCGCCTTTGGCCTTCATCAACCGCCTCATCCATTCCATGTATCGATGTTGCACGGCAGTCATCAATGAACATGACGGACACACGAGACACAGACTTGTGATGCCACTTTCTCAGAGACTAATGTTGTGTTTCACCTTAAGAACATTTGACACTTTAATTTCATAATTGATGATCAGTTTTGCCAGGTTTCATCTTTTTAATATGTTTCCAAGTATGTTTCCAGTGTTTAGACAAATAAGGTTTCTCATATATCTATCCATGGTGACGTTTCCTTTGCGGTTCAGTATATTTATCAGACATAAAGCCTTTTGGTCTTCATTTATTAAAAAAAATCATTCTGCAGTGAACCTGTCAGAACCTGAAGATTTAGGTATGCGAGAATGCGAGTATGCGAGTCAATCCCCCCTCAAGGTTAGATGCAGGTTGTTTATGTTACTCTGGAATATCAATATGTTTTAGTACAATTTCTTGATTAATGACCGTAACGTCATGTTTAGAGTAATGTTTTGCACGTTTTGTCTAAGCCTGGCTGAAATGTCCTATCCCCAAATTGTATAAAGATATTAGCAGTCCAACATTGCACATACAGTATATTCAGTAAACGTCAGATGATATTATCTACATTAATGACAAATTTTCCTGAACCTTTGATGGTAGAAATGTAATTATATCTGTGGTCACCCACTGATGTCCCACTGGTAAATCCGCTGATGTTATAGGTGGAAAGGAAAACGAGCTGTTGACTCTCTTACGTGAAATACTCAATATTACTTGTCCGGACTAATACCGGGTATAAAGTGCTATCCCGCTGAGATACCATGCCGACGTTTAGTATGGATACTCCACTCAGACACAGTTTACTGACTCCGAGCCTAACAGTCCTGTGTCATCCCGTTGATGCCGAGCGCCATCTCTCAACGTCTTTTGGTATGACGCCGCCAGTGTTCTGCGGAAGGATACCATCTGTAGTGACCAAGCTATAATTACAGTAACATGCACACACATGCAATTACCGACTTAAACTAACATTTGTACTGATACTAAATATGTGACAGTATAAATGGTCACCAGAAATGTTTACTGATATCACAAACCGATTAACTATGGTTTCGAAAAGGAAATGTTTACCCGATGAGATGAATAATACTTACGTTGTAACAGCTTGTACTCATTGCGGATGCTGAGCCATATACACATTTGTACATTTATATCCTTCATCCGATCTTCCTCAGTCAGCTGATCACGAAAACTTAGTTTTCCTTCTGAAAGATATTTTCTTCATCAAATAAATTCATGTGATATGTGCGACCGCCTCCGTGGTCTAGTGGTATATCTAGAGCGTCCGCCCGGAGAGCGGAAGTTCGGGAGTTCGATCCCGGCCGCGTCATACCAAAAGACGTTTAAAGATGGTACTTGTTGTTACCTTGTCTGGCGCTCGGCATTAAGGGCTTAAAACAAGGACTGCTCGGCTCGGAGTCAGTGTTCTGTGTCACACCTTGTGTTTTTCTGCACGCGATGACACACGGCAGCTACCGCATCAAACTAATTACAAGCCAACGCCATGTGTGTAGGCATTCAAATTTCTTAAATTTATCAAGAATAGACACGAAACATATTATCCATGGTAAGTAATGCCACATTTGCGTTTGACTTTCAGAATGTACACAGGGATTTTATGGTGAATCCTGCAAATACACATGTAGTGTTGGCTGCAGAGACCAGAAGAAATGTTCTCCTGTAACAGGGTTCTGTGAAGGTGGCTGTGGGCACGGATGGCTCGGTGACAAATGTACAGAAAGTAAGTCCTGTAGTGACACAACTAATACTGCATTCATATTCAATGCATTATGCAGCTCAAGGTGCACGCTCTGAACGCAGAATGTGCTGCACAATGTGTCATCCAGATGTGATGCATTTGCAATACATATTGAGACATTTCGAACAAATAACACAAATGTAAGAAATACCTGTAGGTTGGAATGATTGGATACACGTGTATGCATTGAATGGAGAACTTCATGCTGGAAATTAATATCTCAAGTATTTCCCCGGAATGTTTGATGTTTGGAGATGATCTCCGTATTCTTTATTGTTTCAGAGTGCCCTAACGGTACTTTTGGCGATCGCTGTAGCTCTCAATGCAACAGCAACTGCGACAGCCGTGTATGCAGCAATGTAAACGGCGAGTGTTCTCAAGGTTGTGTTCCAGGATTCCAAGGATCACAATGCGATCAAGGTCAGATATGTTTTTCCAGAAGATTAATGTTTGAAACTTAATAACTCTACATTTGTTCACTGTCTCTTCACTTTCGTCTTTGACGAGTCGATAGACGTGCAAAGCCGCTAAAATAACAACACTGAGAATATATCTTCTCTGGAACACCTCTGCATTGCAATCGGGAAAAATGAAAATGTATCGAAATACATAAACCTTTCACTCTTTAATCACATGAACACGAGTACATATACGCATTATATTGTGTACATGCATGATTAAACTTGATTATTGTACATGTGGCTACTCAGTACAAAGCTGTAATGGTCTATCGTTACAAATTCTATGTGCATGTCTTCAGCCTGCACGAATGAAACGTACGGCCCAGGGTGTAGGGAAAACTGCAGTGAAGGATGTCTGGATGGCGAATGCAACGGGACGGACGGCACATGTCAGTGTCGTGACGGCTGGAGGGGAGACAGGTGCCATTTAGGTGGGTGGGATAGGAAAATACGCACGTTTATTATTGCAATTACAGTAAACTACGGTTATAACGAACACGCTTATAACGAACTGACGGATATAACGAACTTATAACTTTTTGGTCCCGACAATTTGCTGTTATTATTCCGTATATATGCTTATAACGAACTACGGTTATAACTAACTAGAATTAGTAGTCCCTTCGAGTTCGTTATAACCGTACTTTACTGTAGTTCTAAAATATGAATGTTACGTTACAACCAATAGCCTTAACTCATGTCATGTCAGCCTTTTGGTCATTGTAGCATAGTGCTGATCTTTTGTCAGTTTCGCGTTTCTCTCGATCTGCATTGGATTATTGCACATCATCGCTGAAGTCCCCATGCCCTTACACCGAAACATATAACGGGTCTTCGATATAGTTTCATTAACTGTATTCCCGTGAAGATTCGGGTTAGAATAGTTCTTCAGCAACCTATGCTAGTCGTAGGAGGCGACTAAAGGGATCGGGTGGTTAGGCTCACTTACTTGGTTGATGCATGACATCGATCCCTATTGCGTGGATCGATGCTCATGATGTCAATCACTGGATATTATGGTCCAGACTCGATTATTGACAGACCACCGCCATATAGCTGGAATATTGCTGAATGCGGCGTTAAGCAACAAACAAACATTAACGAAATAGAGATATATAATGGACATTTGTTTCATGTTCTGTTATTATTAGACTATATGATTCTAAACATTTTTCTAAACCATCACATTTCTATAAAAGTATACATTTCTGGAAATCAGATAAAAGGGTGCATCTCTATTTCTAAAGGTCCGGTGCAATTTGTCAGAAAAAGAAAGCAACTGTTAACAGAGAATATGTGAAATTTTGGATATTCTCAGAGATACCATTTGTTGCTCTACAGATTCTATACATGTACTTCTCCTTGTTGATGTGTTTCTTTAGGCTCATGAATCACAATTTCTGCTCGTATTGGCGCAATCAAAACACGTGAATTTGACCAAAAAGTTTATAGCGGCGATATCGTTGATCTGAGATAATTCCATTCTGACCAAATAGCCAATTCCGTACCACTGATTTACCCACCTGAACTAGAAATAGAAGACACCAGTGACACCGCCTCATCTGATCTACGCATAAACATTCCGAGTGACAAAGAAACTATCCACAAGACTGAATGACAAGAGGGATGGAAAACAATATTCAAGCAGCTGCAGTCTTAACGTTTTCTGTGTAAATGTCACAATTTGTGACGTAGCATTGAGCATGAGCTCTCACCGAAGATATCAAAGAGCGCATACGCCCCTTGTTTAAAGGTTATTTATTTTTAGAGTTAAAGCATCCAGGGCCTTATAATGCTGAAAAAGCATAATGATGGACATGACAGTATGTGCAGCTGGCATATCGTTGTATTTATATCTGATTAATAATAGTCTATGATAATTCCATTAGCTAATGCTAATGCATAACAACATTATATGTCATGTGTCCTGTTAATGTAAATGTATGCAAAACATGAGACTTAAAAAGAATATCTGTCTGTCTGTCTGTCTGTCTGTCTGTCTGTCTGTCTGACATCATTATGATGGACATGACAGTATGTGCAGCTCTCATATCATTGTATTTATATCTGATTAATAACAGTCTATCATATTTTCCATGAGGAATTGCTTGTGTACAATAGTATATGTTCTATGTCCTGTTAATTCAATTCAATGCAAAAGGTGAGACTCACAAAGAATATCTCTCTGTTTGTCTGTAATTATATCAGTGTCTGATACACTTAACCTAACACAGTGTACCTCAATGTCTCCAGACTGTGAGCCAGGATTCTATGGCCCCGGCTGTGCAGTGTCTTGCAGTCCGAACTGTACAGGTACGAGGTGCGGAAGGTCGACCGGGTTGTGCTCCAGCTGCCAGTCAGGGTGGACGGGAGAAACATGTCAGCAAGGTAATCAATACCGCGGGTAGCTGAGGTCAGTCACCCTTCCGATGTTTATTGTTAGATTTACAAGGCACTTTTACGTTTTGGATTCAATAAATTTTGATATTTTTTTATGGAAGGGCGCTTTTCTTTCTCAACAATAAACATCCAAATTTGTATATTTTATTTTAAGAAAAAGGAAACACTGAATAAGGATTCCAGATCACAAACGAAATCCGGCAGCGGTTTCATTGTCTCGGCTTCTTTCTCAATTCAGTTTCGATTATATGACGTATACGTATTTGGAATTAGAACATGCGGTGAAGATGGATAGAATGTGTTGGATCATGTTTAATGATGTTTTGTATGGAAATATAAAGATGAATGCTACGTGGAAAGTGCTCGGTATTATGTTCTTCAGTAGAATTGGACACTGAACAAGGTTTCCAGATCGAAAACGAAAAACGGTATCGCTTTTTGTCATGTTCTATCTCTACTTCTTATTCAGTAACAATTACATTTGAAAGTAAGCAATTGGGCTGATGATTGGTAAATTTCATTTGAACACATTTTATGAAATGTAAGATGAGTGTTAGTGCCGTTAAGCCGCCTTGATGTAACAGCTTAAACAACAGCAGTGTGTATAGACAGTGGTATGTGTTTACCGTTAACCCGCCTTGATGTAACAGCTTCAACAACAGCAGTGTGTATAGACAGTGTTATGTGTTTACCGTTAACCCGCCTTGATGTAACAGCTTCAACAACAGCAGTGTGTATAGACAGTGTTATGTGTTTACCGTTAACCCGCCTTGATGTAACAGCTTCAACAACAGCAGTGTGTATAGACAGTGTTATGTGTTTACCGTTAACCCGCCTTGATGTAACAGCTTCAACAACAGCAGTGTGTATAGACAGTGTTATGTGTTTACCGTTGATTCTCCCTCTGTGTTCTAAATAATTTGCTTACTAACGCATCTGTCGTATGATAAAAACTGTCCTCATGCCTGGGGAAGGTCATTCACATAATGTGCGCCTTTCCAATTTCATGTTGGGTAGTAGCCCAGTTTTGATAGATTGTCCTTTCACATCTGGCATTATCACTATTTGAAAGTGATTCATGATCACATTCTCGTGATATAGTCGGAATCGTACAATCGACTCTGCATCAAATTCAGCATATTTAACCTTCCATCTTTGATACGTTCATTTCAAATCACATTTTTCCTTTTTTTCCCCATATAAATCTGAAACATTTACATTGAAATTCTTCTTTTCGTGTATCTGGTGTGTTTGGGAGAGACGAAAGCAAAATGTTTTTGTTTTGGAATAATATGAGATTTAAATATACAGTTTCTGTCTTAAGACGTGAGGTTGCGCGCTAACCAGATGGACAAAAGTAGCTCACATTTTCTGAGAGTATCTTTATTATTTAGTTCAGTTATGTCAATTTAAATATTATCCCAAGTAATTCAAATGTTTTCTGATCCAAGTTAAGTCTCCATTTCTGACACAGGGTCGTTATTGAATATGTTATCGAGCCTATCCAGGTAATTTTAGCTTTATCAATATTTACTTTCAATCCCGAGAAACGGGCAGAAAAAATGTAAAGACTTGTAGCACTGTTTGTGGGCAGCGTTCCTTACCATCTGGCGTACAAGTACTAGTGCTAGTGATATCATTAGCAAACTGATTAAAGATGTATTTAATATCACCAACTGTGATTGTTTTTATTTCGGCTTCAAAACGTTTAATTTTAGCGAGAACTTAAGGCGAGAGTGGGCCCCTTTGACGACAACCCCTGATAATAACACAAACAAGAGGTTCAAAGCCAAGGACACTTGATTAACTACAGTCATCCATATTTTATTGAATTGCCAAAGTGAACGAAAGTGAACGTTTGTTTTAATACAGGTCCCATCGATCGTGTCTGAAGCTTTTTCAAAAGGCCAGGAAATTGGCCATGGTGTGAATGTATTTGCCAGACATCAAGATTTTTTGGTCTTCATTTATTCAAAAACATTACGCGGTGAACCGGTTAGAACCTGAAGATTTAGGTATGCGAGAACTTCAAATGTATCCTTCCTCAAGGTTAGGTGCAGATTGTATATGTTACTCTGGAATATCAATTTGTTTTAGTAGAATTTCTAGATTTATATCCGA